CAATGTGAATGAGCCCCCAGCCTCCAGGTCCCAGTTCAGCACCAGGCTTCACTATGGAAGATGGCAGAGAGGGAGCCGCTCTGCGGGCCCTGGAGTTGCCTGCTCCCAATGGTCAGCACTTCCCAACAGAGGGGGGCAGCAGAGGGCTGATCTGGGACCCCAGGTGCCTGAGGCCCAGTTCCAAGACCTCAGGGCCCGACCGGTGGGAGCCTGGCCCCGGCGAGGAGAAGGCTACCTGGCTTGAGCGCTCCGCTCTCCTCGGCGTGCCTATCCGTCTTCACAGCCTGCGGCCAGTCACTTCCGGGTGGAACCTCACCGATTTGGGTGGGCAGGTATTCTAAGCAGCTCCGAACGCGAAGGGGACCTCATGGAGGTCACACAGCTAGGGAGCTTGACCCTGTCGTCGCCTCTGGCTCTTGGAGCTTGAGGTGCCGTGCACGGAAGGCTGAGGACGGGGTCGAGCCCCTCTGCTCCCCGCTCCCCTCCGGCTCCGGGGGCTCCCTGCGGCGGGCGGGAAAGTGGAGGTGGCAGGCGCAGTGGGGGCGGGGCGGGGGGGGAGGCGCCGTAATGAATGTGGACGGGAGGCGGAATGAGCGATCCATCTTTGCATGGGAAGGGAGGGGGCCGCCGGCGTTCCCCCCACACACTCACACACTCAATCAGGTGCTGTCAGACCTCGGGCCGCCTGGCATTTTGGTGAAGAATCTCTCAGCTAAAAATTGTTGTCAGTCCCATTTCCTCGTTATCAGTGCAAGGGCTGAGGCAGCGCCCGGGGATTAACAGGAGCGGCGAGCGCCCGCACCGCCATCCGCCGCCGATAACACTGGGCCTCCCACCTCACCTCCCCCATTCATCATCTTTAGCACTGACAGCCCGTCCCAGTCCCTGTCCCCAGCCCCTCATGCTTCCCACGTCTCCCCACTACGCTGCTCAGCCTGCCTCCTGACCTCCCTATGGAGCTAGGCCTCCTGAAGAGAGACAAGATTCAACCTAGGCCCGCATGACCTACACCCACCTGTGGCAAAGGGCCTGGCCAGCTTGGGGGGGTGGGGGGTGGGCAGGGGCAGGAGTGAGGGATGCTCAAGGAGAAGATGCTTTCTGACAGCCTGCCTCTGGAGGGCTCAGTCTGCCTACCTGTGATGCTGGCACATTGGCGTTGCAGAAGGGATTCCAGGGATTCCTACATCAGATGGGCAGCTGAACTAGGGATTTCCAGAGGTCTCTCCAGCCTGAGGACTCTCAGATTCTGGGAACTGTGGAAGAGAAGGGCCAGGATGCCCACTTTCAGGCCTTGGAAGAGTAGGGGGTTGAGGACTTCGTTCCCACCCCCGCAAGACCACAGCCCCCTCCTCTTGGCCATTCCCAGTGGTTTTATGGCCTGTTTTATGGCCACTGTAATGGCCCAGGTCAAAAGCTTCAGGGAGCTGTATTCTGGGAATTATGCAAACGAGGAGCAGGCCCAGGGCCAGAGTATGGATTTTGTCATTAAACCTGGGCAGGCCATGTCGTTAGTGCAGTAAAACCCACGTCATGACCACAGGTCTCAATATAAAATTATAGGGAACACAGCGGGGGAGGGGAAGCAGGGGGCCCATGGCCAGGCTGACACCTGCCACTCTAACCCCTGAGAAAATGGGGGTGGGATGGAGGGCATGAGCTTCAGGGTCCCTCTGCTGATCCCTGTCAGTGCTATTCCCAAAGCTGAAGCCAGGAAGAGGGCCCACTGTCCTGATGGGGAAACTGAGGCCAAGCTCAGAAAAGTAGATCTCTGTGGCAGCAAAGCAGATGAACTGAGAACAAGTAAATGGGAATGCTGAGTCCTGGTCCCAGCCTTGGAGGGAAGACTCTGGGCTCTAGGAATCCCTAAGAGCCAGAGTTGGTGGCCCAGGCTAAAGGGCGCAGAAACCCTGATTTTTCTACCTCAGCTCCATGCCCTGGATCCTCTGCTTTGTCAGGTCTCCTCCCTTACCATTTCCCCAGTTATGCCCCAGGCCCTGCCTCAATGATCCATTTTAACAGCCTTATCAATTCTCCCTTATTCACCCCTCATGCTTCCATCAGGCACTGCCTCCCCCTGGACCCTACCAACCACCCTCTGGTCCCTCCAGCCTCCACCCTGGAGCTCCCGTTCTCACCTCCCGCAGCCCTGGCCAGGGCAGCAGTGACTGGACCCACTGACCCTTCTTTGGCTTTCCTCTTACTTTGTGATCTCCTTCAGGCCAAGAATGTGTTTTATTTATCTCTGAACTCCAGTTTCTCCTAGAATAATGCCTGAAGTAAAATAATTGTCTAATTAATGTTTGCTGAGTGAATAAATAAATGAAGCATTGAGATCATGAGCTGAGTACAGGGACCACTATCCAGTTCAGAGACTCAGTTTCCCCACCTGTAAAACAAAGGTATTGGCCTGCAGAATTTCTAGGGTCTCACTCACCTCTAAGATTCTCAGGCAGAATGAAGTTCAAGGCAGAGCTGAGACTAGAATCCTTATCTCCCATCCTCCAGACCAGGCCACATCTGCTTCTTTTACTCAGAACTGCCTTCCAGCTGTCCTCTGAGCATCTGAGGCATAGCCAGCAAGGCACATGATCAGTAGGGCCCCTTCCCCTGCTCAGAGACCTAGCCACACAGACTAGAGCCACACCTAGCTTACCCTGGCCCACACCAAGCCTCCACAGTGGACCTCCCAGCTCTGCAAAGATCATCTGGCTTCTAGGATGATCTGCTCTTCTTCCTACAGCCTTTCCCTTCCTCTTTTCCTCTCCTTTGCTTCATTACTGCACATCTAGTCAATGTCAGGTCTGTTTTCAATTGTCTATAAAGAAAGTCACAACTCATTGTTTTGCTCCCAGTTCTCTGCCTGGAACACTTCTAAGGTGCAACTTAAATTCCATTTCTTTGGTTAAGACTTCTCTTTTTGCACTCCTCAAAACACACACCCAGAATGAACTACTCCCTCCTTTGAGCTCTCAGATGACTCAGTCTGGACATCCAGGAGAGCTGTGACCATCCTCAACCTTGTGTCAAAGGGAGGTGTGTTCCTGTGCTCAGCTGAACTGGGAGCTCCTTCAGGCATGGGGTTGCTAGAGTTAGCAAATAAAAATATATGACCTCCAGGTAAATTTGATTTTTGGAAGAACAATGAGTAACTTTTAGCATAAGTATATGCCATGCAATATTTGAGACATACTTATACTGAAAAAGTATTCATTGTTTACTGAAATTCAAATATAATTGAGCATCTCATATATTTTTAAAAGATTTTATTTATTTATTTGACAGAGAGAGACACAGCAAGAGAGGGAACACAAGTAGGGAGAGTGGGAGAGGGAGAAGCAGGCTTCCCGCAGAGCAGGGAGCCCGACTCGGGGCTCGATCCCAGGACCCTGGGATCGTGACCTGAGCCGAAGGCAGATGCTTAACGACTGAGCCACCCAGGCACCCCTGAGCATCTTATATTTAATCTGGCAACCCAGCTCAACCACCATCATTACTGGCATGGCCTTTATCTCTCTGAAAGCTAATTTTGACCCTCTCTGGGCAACAGTGGGAAGAAGAAGCAGGGAGAAAGATCTTGGCTGAAGCTAAAGAAGTCTTTCTACAGTCGACGTTTACATAGATAGGCAAGGATGTTTCTGGATGAATAGGCCTCCTCAACCCCATGCCTTAAGCAGAGGGCAGAGGAGCACTGGGTGGTATCAGTGACAAGGGAGAGGGTTTAGGCTCCCCAAGAGGCATGCACTAGGCAACCTTCAGCCTCCTTCCTAGAATAGTGTGCTCTGGTCACCATCAGCGACAGAGACAGTGACAGAGCTGGGACACAGTGGGGACAGAGTGCAGGCTCCCAGCTGGCCCCCCAAGCCAGCATAAGCCAGCCCAATACCCACTTGTATTCCCATACAATTTGAAGGGTATTTGGGAGGGGGAAACCCAGAATCTGTTAGGCTCACAAGAGGCCAATGAGGTTATCCATGTGAGAGATAGTGAGATCCAAACAGGGAGAATATAGATTCCAGGAATACTGAAGAAGCAGAATGGACAGGACCTGGTGGTTAAATGAATGTGGGAGGGACAGTAAGGCAAGGGAAGGGGCCTCAGGGGAGGCGAATTTTCCCGGCTTGGGTGACTAAGGTGTCAGTGTCATTAACTAAGATGGGCACTGCTGAAGAGGAGCAGTTTTGCAAGGGGTGAAGAAGCTGAAGGACTTGTTTTCTTGGGGGATTCTTAGGGGACATCCAGGCATCGCTGTCCGTTAGGCACTTGGATACAGAGGCTGAGAGAACCAGGGAGGGATCTGGGGGCAGAGACACAGATTCTGGAATCTACAGGGCACAGATGGGAGTTAGGGCCGTAAGAAGGAAGAAGAGCATCCAGCATGCAGAACAGGGAGAGGAGAGGCTATGGGCAGAATCCTGGGAAGGTGAGGAACCAGGAGAGAACACTACCCGAGAAGTCACATGGGTCCTTTCTGGTCGTTCCCCCTTGACTGTGAGGGCCTCAAGGGCAGGGACTAGATCTGATTATATTCTGGGGCCCCACTGCTCTGCACCGGGGCTGGTTCAGAGTAGACCCCAGACAATGTTTGTTGAATGAATGCAGGAATGAATCTTCTTTCTCCCTCTTTTCTTCCTTCTCCAGATTTGGGGAATATGAAAGCAGAAAGGAAAGGAGAGACAGAGGGGGCACTGGATATTCTGGGTGATGGCCCAAGACCTTCACTAACCAGTATGAAACGAAGTGATCCAGCTTTGATTGCACAGAGCATTGATTGTGTCCCAAAAGATTTTCCAGAGGGGCAGCCGGCTAAGGAGGTGTCATTCGTGGCCCAGAGCCACAAAGAAGGGTGAATGGTCCTGGTCTCTGAGACCCTCAGGCTCCACCCTCCTCTAGGCCAGGAAGCCCTGGGAGGCAGCAGGCTCGGACTGGAGGATTGGGACACTGGGTTTCCGTCCACAGACTAGCCCAGCTTATCTGTCTGTCTCTTCTTCTTCCCTCCCCAGGTAAGAAAAAGGCAGCAGCTTTGTTTGACAGCCAGGCCCCTATTTGCCCCATCTGCCAGGTCCTGCTAAGGCCCAGTGAGTTGCAGGAGCATATGGAACAAGAACTTGAACAGCTGGCCCAGCTGCCTGCCAGGTAAGCCACCAACCGGGGGAGCCTGCCTGCCAGACAGTTCCACTCACGGTTCTAAACGCCAGGTCCCAGAAGAGCCGCCTGGCCCAGTCCCCGGCCTCTAGGTAGAAGGCAAAGCCCTCCTGTTACTCTCCTCTACTCTGCCTTCAGTCCTCGGATCCTCCAGCAAAATGGTGATGCCTTTCCCTTCTTGCTGTATTTTCGGAGATGGGAAGAGGGTGACCCCTCTTCAGTCCTCAGCCTCAAAAGGGCACAAGAGGAGCTGGAAAGGGATGAGCCACAGCCACGGGCCTTGCACTGCCATGCTAAGCCTCCAGGTAGGGTAGCAGAAGCAGGGACTGGGCCTGGCAGGCTGCCCAGCAGTATGGCCTTGTGCCGCCATCCAGGGGAGTAAGCACTACCTTCTCTATGAATCTCAAGGTCTGAAAGGTGACAATCAAGAAGGGTCTTGGGCAGGTCCCCCCGTGCTCCACCCTACCTCCCTTCTCCCTGCCTGAAGGACCAGATGGAGCCTCGTTGAGGGCCTAATAGAGGAGCCAGGTTATCAAAGGGACAGAGCCAGGGTGTGACAAATTACCCCAAATCTTAGCAATTTAAAGCAACCATTTCATTGTACTCATGGAATCTGTGGGTTCAGGAATTCAGACAGAGCACAGAGGGGATGGCTTGTGTCTGCTCCAGGATGTCTGGGGCCCCAGCTGGGAAGACTCAATGGCTGGGAGCTGGGATCATCTAGAGCCCCCTTCACTCACATGTCTGGTGATTGATTCCGGCTGTCAGCTGGGACCTCAGCTGGGGCTGTGACCAAAGCACCTACACTTGGCTTCCATGTGGCCTGGGCTTGCTCATAGCCTGGCAGCCTCCGGGCAGTTGGATTTTCTATGTGGCAGCTTAGGGCGCTCAAGCAAATGTTCCAGCCAACGAGATGGAAGCTGCATCACCTTTTACAACCTAGCCTCGAAAGTCATTTCATGCCACTTCTGCTGGTCTCTATTGGTCAAGGCAGTATCAGCCCAGCCAGACTGAAGGGGAGCAAACATACACCCCACCTTTTGATGGGAGAGTGGCACAGTCATATTATAGGAGAGCACATGGGATAGGAGACATGGTGGGTTGCAGCCCTCTCTGGAAGATACGTCTGCCAGGGAACAGCCTTCCCCACCATTCCCAACCCCACCCCACCCCTTGTTCAGTTCAAGTCATCAAACTTGACTGATCTTCCTTCTACCGTCTCACCTAATCCCCCTTGCAGGGTGCAGGAGACCCAGAGGTAAACCCGAACGGGTCCCACCCCCAGAAGCTCACTGCTTGAGAGTAAGGGGAGCGGGGCCATAGAAACCGTGAGGGGTAGAGGCTGCTCGATGGGAAGAACTGTGGGGCATGGAGAAAGCGCCAACCCCAGCTCAGAGCAGAGCAGACCTCCTATGGGAGGGGCGGCCTGAGCTGAATTTTGAAGGAAGTATTAGTTATCTGTTGCTGTGCTGCAATTACCCTCAAACCTATCGGCTTGAAACAACAAACATTTATTACCCACAGTGTCTATGGACCATCAGTTCAGGAACAGCTCAGTTGGGTAGTTGTGGGTAGTTGTAGCTTCTGGCTCGGTCTCTCATGAGGCTGCAGTTAGGATGTCAGCCAAGACTGCAGTCATCCGAAAGTCTGCCAGTGACTTCGGGAGCCATTCCCAAGATGGTTCCTCCACACGTGGGTCTCTCCGTAGGACAGCTTGAGTTTCCCTCTGACATGGCTGCTGACTTCCCACAGAGGAAGTGATCCCAGAGAGAGACTCAGGAGGAAGCCACAATGCCTTATATGATCTAGTCTCAGAAGTCATACAATATTGCTTCCAGTGTATTTTATTCTCTTCATTAGAAGCAAGTCACCAAGGCCAGCCCCCACTCAAGAGAGAATTAAACTCTGTAAGCTCTACTTCTTGACAGGAGGAATATCAAAGAATTTGTGAGAATACTTAAAACTAGCACAGAAGACTATACAAATGATAAAATAATAATCCTGTTTGCACACTCGCTATATGCCAAGTACTCTACGTTGCATTAATGTATTTAATCTTCACAACAACCCTCTAGGGTAGGTAATAAAAAATTATTAACTCCATTTTACAGATGGGGAAACTGAGGAACAGAGGGGCTAAGTGGCTTCTCTAAGGTTGCACAGCCCATAAAGTGGTAAAGATAAGATTCAAATCCAAGCAATCTGACTGTAGTGCCATGCTCTTAACCGTTCCCGGCATACACACACACCCCTGCCCCCCCCCCCACACACACACCTGGGACTAGCCTAAAAGGGGCACAGCGGGAAAGAAATATCTTTCCGCAATCTTTCCACACCTTGGCTGTCTGGGAGGGTTTCTGGGCAATTTGCTTCCAATGGAGGACTTCCCCTCAATAAGAACAGAGAATAGAGGCAGAGGTGTGTGGAGGGACCTGCAGCGCCCCATAAAAGCTGTGGACCCCTAAGGATCTGGAAAATGGGGGCCCAAGCTCTCTTTCTGCCTCCTCAGTGGGGGCCACACTATAGCCTAGTCCCTGCGGCCCCACCCCTGCACAGCCCAGGGAGTCCACATCTACCCACAGAGGTGCCCCCCAGCCGTGATCCTGCACCAGTCCCCCCCCATATTTCGTCACACCCTTACCCGCGTGTCCGTTCCCCCCCCCCCCAGAGCTCCCACATCTGCTCCGCCCCTCACGGCTGTGTCTTGCGTCCCCCACTTCTGTGCCCCTCACGTCCAGGCCCACCCCAGCACCCCCTAACCCTTGGCACGCCACCCCCCACCCGGTGTCTGACAGCCGGACAGCGGGATCTGCACAGCAAGTGAAATTCCCGTCGGATCGATAAAGCCGAAGCGCTGGCGGCGACGGGTCGATGGTTTTATCTGTCTCGGCCCCGCCGCGCCCGGCGCGCTGACAGTCCGACCGGCCGGCAAAGGCGTTCAAGGGCAGCCGCGCCCGCCGCCCCCTCCCCTCCCCTCCCCTCCCCCGCCCTCCCCTCCCTGCGGCCGCTGCGCCCACCGGACTGCGGGCTGGACCGGCCGCCGCCGCCCTCGTGATTTATCTGGATTTTTAATTGGAAAAAATTTGCGAATTAATTGATTTCAGGAACTTGCCAATTAACATTGTAATTGGGTGCGTGATAAATTCCCAAGGAGCGTGTCAGCTCCCTCCGGGCTGAGGGCGCCGCAGAGCCCGGGTAGCGCGCGGGGAGGGCCCCAGCTTTGGCTGCCCTTGCCCCGCCCCTGCCCGCTGTCTGGGAGGCAGGAGGAGAGCTGAAGAAGTGGGGGAAAAGATGTGGCACCTGGGCTCCTGAGACTCCTACCCCCCCAACCCCCCCACCCCACCCCCCCTTCCTCCCACGGGCTCCCTGAGCTGAATGGGACCTTTGCCCAGCCATTTCACAGATGGGGAAACTGAGTCCTGCAGGAGGGCAGAGCTTGTGTGTGCCTGGGCATGCTGGCATGGAGGGCATCCTCCATCCATGGCATGTGGCCAGAGCCTTCCTGCCCAGCTCTCCAGTCCTCTCCTTTCCCTTCCACTGCTTGCTCCCTGCTCCCTGCTCCCCTCCCTTCTCTTCCCTCCAACTTTCCCCTTCCTGCTCTTACTCTGCCTTTGCCTCTGCTCTCCCACCCCTCCCACAGCTTAGCGGGCTCCGGAGCCTGTGGACGCTGCTGCAGGGTGCCTCTCCATCACCTGGGACGCCTCCCTCCGTCCCTGCCACATGGCTGCTCCCCGAGAAGTTCTTCAGGATGGGCCTGGTGTTGTGCCTTCTGCTTCCCTTTGCCCAACAGCACAGAGCAGCAACCTTCCCCCCACCCCCACCCCCACCCCCACCCGCAGCAGGCTGCTATTTGACACACCTGAGGACTCACACAGAGAAGCAGGGACCTCCTGGCTCCCAAGCTAGGGCTGGCTGCTTTTTATGGACACAGGCAAACGCGTGTACATGACGTACAGGCACCGTCCACGCCCACATTCCAGCACACGAGCTATGCTCACATACACACACACTCATTCCCACAGATACATGGGCACACAGACACCTACGGGAAGAAGACTCAGAACTCCTGTTGGCAAAGCACGTCTACTTTTCAAAGTACTTTGACACTTGAGATCAGAGGCTGTGGCCCCACACCATCCTTCAGCCCGGCCTCCCCTTTCTCAGTCCTGCACAGGAGTGCAAATAGACCCCAGGACTCAGCTAGTTAGAACAAGGAGGGCATAGTTAGATTAAGGACAGATTGTAGGGGGCTTTCAGGCCTGGAGGGTTGTCCTAGATGCAGAGGGGGAGTCAGAATATTGGTGAGCCGCAAGAACCTTGACCAGATTGCAGAAGTGGAGAATCGCTCTGGAGGCCAGTGTGGAGCATGAATTGGGGGTCGAAGCAGAGAGACAAATGACGTTGGGCAGGGTCCAAGGGACAGATGATGAGCTGACCCACTGACCTGGGACAATGGCAGTGGCCGTGGGAACGGAGAAGAGGGAATGATGAGAAACTGGTGGAGGAAGAAGCAAGAGAACTTAGGTGATTACTCACAAGGTACTTGCTAGGAAGAGCCTTCTGACCTGGGTGACCAGAAGGGTGATGATGGCAGAGAAGGAAGTTTCTGAGGAAAGGAGGAGACAATGGACAGGGCTCTGGGCATGCTAAGCCTAAGATGTCTCTGGGATGGTGATGGGGTAGAGACTGGTTGTGTGCGGACAGGCAGCAACATAAAGCGGGCTGAAGATTGGAGGGTTGTGGGGAGTGACCCCCCAGACTTCTCTGTGGCCCTCAGGCAGGAGTTTCCACCCAGAGAAAGGAAAGAGCCCTAGGCATGGAGAGATGGCACAGAGGTGCAAGTGAGGTGCGGCTTGGTGAGGCCTGAGCCTGGGGACCTTTCCTGGGAGGCTTCCAAAGCCACTTTGAGACCTGGCCTCTAGGATGGGAAGCCAGCTCTCTGGTCAGTGCTTTCAAAGTCCTGAAAGGAGCCACAGGGAGGCTAGGGGACTCTAGAGAGGCGGGGTATGGAGATGGCAGTGCCCCCACCCCCACTTAAGCCTTATTTAAGGCCGGCCTCGGTGTTTGGTTGGGTAATGAACTAGATAAACAATTCCCCAAATAGATTAAAACGAAGTGTAACTTACAAAGGCGCTGGTGATGATGGTATTCCCAGGCAGCACACCATTTCTTTATTTCCAAGGATAATTCAGTGTAAATCACCTTAATTAAAAGTGTCAGCCCAGCCCATGAATATTGTACTTAGGAACGCGTTTCCTGGGTCCCAGTTATAATTTAAAACCCATGGATCACTAGGCAGCGAGTGACTGAGAAGGGAGGAAATCGTTGGGGGCGGGCTGTGGAAACAGGGAAGGACGGAAGGCAGAGGAGTTGGTGGGCTGGGCAGGAGCCAGTCGGGCTGGGCAGGAGCCAGTCGGCCTGGCCTGTAGCTCTGGGGTTCTGACCTCCCCTTTCGGTGGCAGGCTTTTCACCAGACTCCTGTCCCTGGGGGACCAAGCACAGTCAGAGGTAATCAGGTTGTTGGAAGAAAGGGGGGGGGGGGGCAGGGCACTTGCTCAGAGAGAGGGAAGGAGCCTAAGGCAGGACCAGTCCAACTTAAGGGGGAGGGAAGAGTATTGGCAAAGGGAGAAGTTGGACATTCTCACCCTAGATGTCCTCATTTCTACTCATCAACAGAGCAAACTAAAGCCCAGTGTCAGTGGGATGTTCCCGAAGTAGAGAAAAAGAACTCCAAGCTCTGTCCTCCAGCCTAACCCCTGAGTATCTTTAGGGAAGCAGTGTGAGCAATGGAAAAGCAGCACTTCGGACTCGGTCCAACAGGAACTCAAATCCCTAAACCCTACATGGACTGTGTGAACATAGAGGTGTCATTTAACCTCTGTTAGTGAACTTTGTAAAGTTTTTGTGAAGATTAAAGAGAGAACACATATAGAGTACCTGGCCCATACCTGCCAGACCCGTCCCATGTGGTTGGTGCACAATCATTGTTCACTCTTTCCTTTTCAGTCCCAACCCGATCCTGTTCAGACAAAGCTCAGACCTCAGGCCAGGGGTCCAGTGAGAACCCTGGTACACAGTAGATGCCTCATTTCTGTACCTGTCCAGACACAGGTGCAATGGGATGTCAGTCCTTGTTGATTGAGTGAAGGAAGGCTCAAAGTCATGAAGTCCCCAACTAGTCGCTCCTCAAGAGCAGCTCAGTTTCTTCTCTGTATCCGCATTGCCTAGATCAGGGCCTGGCTGGGAGCAAGAATACAGGGACTGTTCAGGAACCAAATGGAACCGAGTGGAACCTGGTCTGGCTGTCCTTCCCAGTCTGTGATGCCCACACCGTGTGATCACACAGGCAGACAGCTCTGCGTTTACACTCAGACCTTAGGCTCATGCTGCTGCTGAACCTGGTGGCCTCTGCACTGTGATGCATGTGTCTGTGTGGGTGTGTGTCCACGTGTGTCTGCCTGTGTGGGTGCGTGTCCGTGCATGTGGGTGTCTGCATCCATGCATGTATTTCCGTGGATGCTGGTGCCTGAGCAGCTCTTCACCCAGGTCTGGGGGACTGTTGTGAATGGGTCTTTATTTACAACATGTTTGAGCCTCTGGGTGTGACCACATGGGTCTGAGTGACTGTTGACAGAATTATGGACAGTGGGTATGTGTGTGTATTTGCCTTTATGCCAGGGTTTCTCAACCTCAGCACTATTAACATTTGGGGCCAGATAATTCTTCGTTGGGAGGGGCTGTCCCATACACTGTAGGATGGTTAATATTCTCTACCCACTAGATGCCATTAGCACACTCCGGGCCCCCATTGGTGACGATCAGAAAGGTCTCCAGACATTGCCAAACGTCCCCTGGGGGACGACGATGACTTTATCTGAATCCACCTAAGCCTTTGCTCACATACTGGGTGTGTCTTCGTCGGACCCTGTGGGTGTTCCCTGGGTCCATGCCCCGTGAGTCCGTGCGTGCCCCACGCATTCTGCCTTGGGTGTGTGTCTGTGTGTCTTTCGTGCCCTATGGACAGCTCTGTGGGCGTGCTGTCCCTGCAGAGCTTGTGCGTGTCTGTGCAGGGACCCTGTGTCAATGGGCTGTGTCTGCCTCCTGCATGTATCAGCCAGCGCCTCTGTGTGCATGTATTTGTATGTGTGTGTGAGTGCACGTGCATGAATGTGTGAGCACAGATGTGGTGAGCACAGTGGGGGCAGCAGGGAGGGAGGGACAGGAACAGGGATATTAATGTTTCTGAAGTGGATCTGATTTGATACGTCTTGTTCCATTGTCAGCATCTGTTTAGCAGGGATTTGTAATACTTTGTGGCTCTGGATCACTCATGCTTAGCGCGGGATGTGGCCTTGCATACCAATTTTGTTATTAAACACAGTCCTCGCCTCCCCCACAGCCCATCCATCACCTCCCACCCCTGCCCCCGCCTGCTCCGAGCCGCCCACCATATTTCAGGGCCCAGCTCCCGCCCGCCTGCCGCGCCCGATGCCGGAGGGCCTGGGGCTGACAAATTGAATCAGGGGGAGATCATTCCTGGCCTAACGCAGTTTGCAGCGTGTTGGAGGGAGAATTGACAAGAGCCATGTCAGCTCCATCACCCCAATCCCATAGGAGCTAAGAGCAGGCTGGGGACAGGAGGTGGAGGGAAGGGGGCATCCAGGATATGCAGAATCCTCAGGGCTGATACCAGGAGTCAGGTAAAGCCTCTTTCCTCAGATTCACGAGGCAGCCTACCAGGCCTAGTGTCTATGTCCCCCTCCCAGCTCTTGCCACGGGTCCCTGATGGAGGCTGAGCTAGTCAGGGCCAGCTGGGGTTGAATGGCCTTGGTAGAGCTTGGCTGCACGGGGCTGGGCTAAGCTGGCTATGCCTTCTCTTTTTGGGGTCTTCTTGCTATTCTTCTCTTGCATGCCCTGGGCAGCAAGTGGGATGGTCACCCTGTTCTCTTCTTTCTTGGCAGCAAGAATTCCCTTCTGAAGGATGGCATGGCTCCAGGCACCCCCAAGGTAGGTGGACAATTGTGTGTTTTCCTCCTACCCATCCTAACCTAGGCCTACCCATAACTGATTCCTCTCGAGGAAAAGGAGCTCTTCCTGGATGCCCAACTGTCTCCAGGGTTTGATCGTCAACCTGAGGCGGAGGGCTAACCTGTGTGCTTGAGTGTGTGTGCGTGCGTGTGTGTGTGTGTGTGTGTGTAGTCTGAGCATGAGCCAGAGTATGTTCATCTGACTTCTTCCTCTTCTAGTCAGGACAGGGGTCAAAGCTAAGAATGACCTGGAGGCATGGGGGGCTCGGACATTAAGACTCAAAGGAGGAAGGTGAGCTGTAGCAGGTAAAGAAACATACAGAAGTGCAGGTCAAGATAGAGAGTGCACTGGCCTTCAAAGCCAGGCCATGGGGTGTGTGTGTGTGTGTGTGTGTGTGTGTATACTTTGTCCTGAGGGTAGCAGGGAGCTAGGGAGGATGTTGGGCAGCAGGGAGCCGGGGAGGATGTTGGGCTCATCTGGGGAGACAATCTGCCCCCTCTAAACAGATACCATGGGAGAGAGGTTTGAAAGCATCAGACAGAGAAAGGAAAAATGAAGGGCAAGTGGCTGGTTCAAAGGAGGGGCCAGAGAGGCCTTAGCACAATGACATGATTTGTACCAAGAACTCCCATAGGTGGCCCCAGAGGCAGATGGTACTGCTTCCCCAAAGGTGATGATTTTGAGAGAGTGGGGACCTGAGGAGGAGAACTAGACCCTACTCACTGAGTGTCCCCTTCCTCACCCTCAGTAAGGCAACATCCTTTCTTAAGAGTTCTCAAAATGACTCGTAAAGGCAGGAAACCCTGGCCCTTTTTATAGGGAGTGAGGAGTGAATGTTAAAGCTTCAGAAATGGATGAAATCAGTCAGGAGGCGTGCACAGAGAAATTAGAGCGAAAGCCAACTAGAGAATCTGGGGACCCCTGCACTGGGGGGTCAAGATAAGGTATAGGCACCAGAAAAAGGGTAGAGGAGGAGGGGTCACAAGTTAGGAGGGGCCCAGGAAAGCCTGGTACCCCAGACTCTAAGGGGAGAAAAGTTCCAAACGTATGGGGTGGTAGCAGTTGAAGAGAGAAAGTCTGGAGAAGGGAACCATTGCATTAAGAAGTCTTAAAGGCACTGGTGACATCTGAGAGGGCAGTTTGGAGAAAAGGAGCCAGAGTGATAATATATTACCTCCAAGGGTTGACCTAATTTCCCCGGAGGCCTCAGAAAGGGTGGGAGTGGATTTTGCACCTTCATTCAGGAAATCACTCAACACAGAAAGTTGGACAGAATAAGGGGCAGAGACAGATGTAGGCCCTGCCCAAGGAAGCAAAGTCCTCCGGCTCTAAAGAGAAAAGGTGGGTGTTGCCACGCAGCTGTGGACCATGCAGGTGGGGAGCCACCCGCCCGCGGATGCCTGCAGCATTCAGTGGTTGTGGTTAAGGAAGGTAGGCCAGCCATTGCCACCTGACACCTGACACCTGAGCATGGCTGTCAGGGCTAGGCATTGGACCCCAGTGAGGCCTGTGCTCGAAGGATAAACACAGATGCAATCCACGTCCATACCTGGCCCCACACATATGCACATGCACACACTACTGAGGTCAGAATACTCACACAGGAGGTCTTAAAACATGTGTGGATCCTGCCACCACGGACACAGGCATGTTGATAATCAGACTCAGAGGCAAGGACCCCGGCTCGCCCACTTCCAGATTCATGCTCACGCCCCCAAAGCTGACCATTTCAGCGTCTATCCCCAGCCTGTGGCTGAGGCTGTAGGGAAGTGGGCCATGGGTGGGAAGAGGCGTGAGGTAGAAGGTTTAAGCCAGAGACTGAGAGGACAGGGAGAAGGAGGGAGGGAGGAGGAGGAGAGGGCGAGGGGGCCTTAGACAAGATTGATGGCCTCATTGCCATTAAGAAAAAAATTAGCCGGTGGCGGCTATCATATTAAAGGGTGAAGAAGCCGTGAATTATTTTCTTAAAGATCTTATCGCTTACAATGATAATTTTACCTTCCAAAAGGCCACTTTTAATGAGGCGAAGAGCCAGGCAAAAAGTCATGATTTAATGCTGGGATTTTTTTTTCAAAACACATTTTACTGCTTTTTGGTCCATGTTTAAAAAGCGCCAGTGACCTTTTTTTATTCTGCTTGCCCCAGGTGTAATGCTGGGGCCTCTCAGGGCTTCTAACCTAGAGAGAATGAGAGAGAGAGAGAAAGCACACAAGAGGGAGCTTTCTCGTGGCGGGGGGCAGGGACCCCCACATTGTTTCCCCTCCTCAGCATCCTCCCTGAGACCAGAGAAGGAGAAGGACATCGCCTGAAAGCCCACCTTAATCTGCCCTGGGCCTGCCTGGCTGGGTGAAGAAAGGGCTCCAAGTTGCAGGCCCTTCCCAGGCTCTTTCCTCCGCCAGCTCTTGGGGAGAGGCTGAGTCAGGGAGCCCTGCCAGGCCAGCAGCTGCCCCTCCCCTCCCAGGGCCCGTGCCTGAGGATGTGCAGCTTGGCCACCGCATGCGGGTCACATCCTAAGGCTCGGTCGGAGATGAAGGATAAATGGCTGCTCCATCTTTCCCAAATTGCTTTCTTTGGGCTGTCACTGGCGATTTGGCATGGTTTCTAGGCTGGGGAGGCCTCCTAGGGAATTGTATGCTTCCGGCTCCGAGCCGTGCAGGCTGGAGAGGGTGGGGGAAGGAAGTAGGGATTGCTTTCAGGCCTCCAGGCCCCCCATTTGCAGCTGAACAGGCCTTGGCAAGAGCCGGCTGAACGTGCCATGTGGTATTTAGAATTGTGGCGCTCGCACACAATGTAAAGCAGACAGTTTATTAATCTAAACCGCAGGCGTATGTAGGAGAGGCTGCACAGGATTGACGTGGGGGGGGGGTTAGTTCTGCTGGGGTTCTTGCTGGGGTCACTGCCGCAGCACAGGGATAAATGGACCCAGCGTACATCCCTAGCTGCATGCAGGAAACTCATACATACTATTTAATTTACTGTCTCCATGGCAGGGCTGCCGTCAGCCTGTATTAGGGGCAGGCAGGGCAGCAGGTATGTGGCTTTACCCCCAACCCTTCAGGGGGGGTCCCAGAGTCTCTGCTTGCTAAGGGAGAACAAAGCATATATCATCTCAGCCCACTAGGAGTGGGCAGGGAGCCCTGCCCCACTGGGGCAGAGATTACCTGGGATCTGGGAGGTTTGGACCCTCTTGAAGTTCTCTACCTGTTCCTAGAATCAAACCATCCTCTTCCACCACCATACCCCCGGGACCCCAACACCTGCCTGCCTTCTCAAGAGTGGTTGAGACTATCCCTCTGCCTTCCTCTCTGCCCCTCTCCCCAAAGCTCCGTTGCACTGGGAAGTCTAGGGGACTGACTGACTGCAGGTCTCATTTGGCCTGAGGCGACATGTCCCTTTTCTTCTTCCAGTCCCTCCTGTTGTCTGCTTCCATCAAGAGAGAAGGAGAGTCTCCAACAGCGTCACCACACTCCTCCGCCACTGAGGACCTGCACCACTCAGACAGATACCAGGTGAGGAGGGGGTGGGTGAGCGTCAGAAGGAAGCTCCCGTAGATGAAAGCTTAGAGGGGCCTGCCTGGTGCTAACTCCTCCCCCTCCCTGGGAGGGGAGAAGAGAAGCCTGAACTGTATCTGGTTCCCTCTGTGTCCACTGCCCCTAACTGAAGCCAGAAGGCACAGGTGTCAGGGAATGGGCCTTCTACAGTTGGGTTTTAAGGAGTGATGCCAAGGTCACCTGGGTTCTGGTGGGCTCTGAGCATTTTTGAAGCTTCTCGTTCATCAAGAGGTATCCTATGTGGTTTCATTTCATGAGGGACCCAGAGACATAGCCCCAAATCCCCTGAAGACTTCAAAACCAGGATCCCTTGAGCAAATAACTATTCAGTCCTGCCAAACCTTGGTATCAGACCCAGAGAGAGACAGGCAGACATTACCTGTGAGTGCCATGGGCAAAGAGGAAGGGAGTAATCACAGCAAGAGGGGGCCTGAGGGTAACATCCTAGCTCTATATGGATATCCTTTGTGATAGGAAAGAGAAAGAATTCCCCCAGAAGCTTCTGTCTGAGGAGAGACAGAGTCCTGCCCTTAGGAGCCCCAGTCAGATGGAAGAAAACAGGGCCCTGCTCCAAGAAACATTTGTCTGAATGGCCATAGGGCTTCTCAGGAAGCCCCAGTGTAAAAGGAGAAAACAGCTCTGACTCAGAAGCCCTGACTGGATGTGGAAAGATAAGGCAGCAGGGACCTATAATCCCAGATAGAGGACCTGGGTCACTGCTGGCACACAGGAAGCCTTTGTTGGAATTAAGAGATGTTCTCCTTGGGCCCCCTTTCCTCCCAATTGACACAGCCTGGCATCAGGGTGCAGAGCTTAGAGAAGGGAGCGGGGGAGTGGAGACCAGCCTCACTGGCACCTCCTGTGCTTCTATATGGGACTCAAACTGCATAGTCCAAAGTGCTAGCCCTGGGGAGGGATCCCCACTCTCATAAACCTTGGTTCAAGAGAGGCAGTCCAGTCCAGCCCCTGGGGAACATTGCTCTCACCCAGACAACCCTAGTGTAAATGGAGAAAGGACCCAACCCCAGGGAATTCTGGTCTGATAGGGAGACAAGGCTCTGTACCAGAGAGTTCCACTCCAAAGGGATGGACAGAGCCCTGCTTTTAGGGGGCATTCTGCCACACTCTCTACTTCAGGCACAGCATTCAGCCTCAGTACCTGCCCAACTAGGAAAAGAACTACCATGGGGCATAGGCACTGAGGTCTTCTCTGATTTAGGTTCAACCAGTATTTCCAGCTGCCATTCCTAATACTGCCCTCCATGAACCCTATAGGCTATCCCCACGTAATTAATGCCAACCACTTCCTTTGGCTGTGCCATTCCTTTCTTGCCTGCACACTTTTACACATGCCATTTCTTCTAATGGGACTATTTTACCCCACCCCATCACATTTCTATTTATCCTTCAATATCCTGCCCAAATACCATCTCCTCCAGGAAGCCTTTCTGGATTAGCTCTCTCTTCTCATGACCCCTGTATGTCCCTATGATTGCCCTTATCATCCTATATTGCGATCACCTGTTTAGCTATGTTTCCATTATTTAGTGACATAACAAGCCATCTCAAAACTTAGTGGCGTAATACAATGTATGGTTTCTCATGGTTTTTCTTCAGTTGACTGGGCCTTTCCTCATTTATGCAGCTCATTCAGCTGGAGGATTGACTAGGCTGGAAAGCCTCACATTCTGGGAGATCGGGATGCCTTGGTTCTCTTCCATGTGGCCTCTTATCCTCCAGTAGGTTAGATCAGCTTCCTTACTTGGCAGCCTCAGGGCAGTGTCACACCAAGAGACTGAAGGCCAAAACTGCAAAGCCTCTTGAAGCCTAGACTCTGGAATTCACACATCAACTTGGCAAAACAAGTCACAAAGCTAACCCATAATCAAGGGATGAGGAAATGCAGCTCTTTACAGAAGGAGCTGCAAAGAATTGTGGCCATATTTAACCTATCACAATGAGCATGACTGTTTCACTAGACTGGGAGTTCCTCCAAGGCAAGGACCTTGTCTCATCCTTCTTTACACCCTTCCTGTACTCAAACATGCTCAGCCCAGTGTCCTTGCCTTCAGGGGGTTAGATTTGCAAATAAATAATTATAGCCCAGTGTTTTAAGTGCTGTGACAGTTATAAATAAGTTTCTGGGACAGCACAGTGTAAAGAGGGGCAAATCAGAGCAAGCTTCACAGAGGAGGTAACAACTGAACAGGGTTTCAGAGGACAAGTAGGAGTTCACTCTGGTGGACAAAGAAGGTCTGCCATTTCAAGGCAACCCTGTGTGCAAAGAGCATAGAGGTGTATCACAGAATGATGTACTTGGGGACCTGCTAGCAGTTCAGTTTTGTTAGCATGTAAAATACAAGGGGAACTGGTAGGAGGTGACACTGAAAGTTCCCCAGAGACTAGCTGGGTATCCCCTCCCCTGATCTTTACACAACGCCTGGCATGTACTAGTTGGTCAATTATGTTGGTTTTTTTTTTTTTTTTCATCGAACTAAGTCTTGAAAGCGGGAGAGTGGGGGAGGGGGGTCTGGTTTCTGGTTTGGAGTCCCATTTACTTAGCCCCTGTTGGGTTACCTAACTCCCTTAACCATGACCTCATTCTACCCTCATAGCAACTGTGCAGACTAGGATTCGTTGCCCCCAATTTATTGCTAAGGAAACAGGCCTAAAGAGGGGATGTGACTTTTTTTGGAACACATAAATTACAAGTAACAGAGTCAGAATTTGAACTGGAATTTGGCCCTGAATCCTTGATTGTTTCCCATCCCTGCACTGGGCTCAGGGGCTTCCCTCATAAATATCCTTCTCCCCTTCCCACTGACACCTCCTGCATGCTAGACCCCGTGCTGGGTGACTGGATGGAGATGACCCCACCCCCGGAAGGGACACACACGTAAACAATCACAATATACAAGATCAGAGGGAAGCCAAGGGATGGTGAAAACTCAGAGGAGGCAACTAACCCAACCTTTGGGGAAAAGTGGAGCCTTCGCAAAGTCCTGAAGGGTGAACAACTGTTAACCAAGCAGCAGATATGGAGGCATGGAGGATAATCTAGTCCAGAGTCCGGAGCATGGAGTGCTAAAGAACTACAGTTAGCCCAGCAAAGGTAGAGTGTCAAGATGGCGAAGGGAGAGAGCAAAAGTAGTAGAAGAAAAGTCTGAAGAAAAAAGCAGGTCACATAAGGCCTGTATGCCATGCTGCAGATCTTCCAGGTGGAGAACCCTTGAAGGAGTTACAGAAGTGAGGGAGGGGAGACAGGGTCAATTTTGTTCAATACAAAGATCACATTGTGTGTAGTCTGAAGGATGGGTCGCAGGGAGAGAAACTGAACACCAGAAGGCCAGATGCGAGACAAATTTTGAGAGCTCACAAGATTATGAACTAGAGCAGTGACATCCAAGGCAGGTATAGCCATTGAAGAAATATGCTATGCCAAGCGCTCTGCAGGGCCCTGGGTTCACCCATATGACCCACACGTGGCCCCACCCCTGGAGTGGTCAGTCCACCATAAAAATTTGTATGAGCCACAATGAAGATAGAGATGGAAGTACTGTAACGGGGGGAAAAGATATTTTTGCTTAGGCCTGGAAAGATGAGTAGGAGATACACAGAGGTGGAGATGAGAACATTTAGGAGACCTTTAAAGATGGACTCTGGCATGTAAAGTTGGACTGAGTGTGAGGCATGAAGGAGGGTGGGGCCGACGACACCTCTCACGTCTCCGGTACGGGCACAACTGAGTGGATGGTGGTAGCCGAGCACCCAGGAGGACAGCGGCTGTTTGGGGGATGTCGACTTCCGCGTTGGCCGCGTTGGCGTGCGGTGCCTGCGAAACCTCCAGGGGCTGTGCGAGAGACCGCTGAACTGGGAATCCTCTAGCAACGGGACTACGGAAAGCCCAGGGGCTGGGGGAGGGACACTTTGGGACATTCGGTGGGATCGCCCGGAGGCGACCCGGAATCCAGACACCGCCTCCCCAGCGAAGCGCTAGCCGCGCGGGAGGCGGAGATCGGGCCGGAGGCCCGACTGAGGCTCTCGGGCAGAAGGAGCCCCGCGCTGGCAGGGGCCGTGGAGCGGAGTGGGAGGACCTGGCGGCCGCTAAAACTCTGGCGGGTTGGCTTTGCGGACGGTGGGAGGGACCCCAGGGCGGCCCCAGCCGGTTACTACCGGAGTACGAGCAGCTGTTTCCTGGTCCTGGTCCGGCCGCCCCCCCCATCGTGAACTTTCACCCCGGCGCGCGACGGCAGCGGATCACGTGATCAGGGCCAACATGGCCGCCGCCGCCGGTGGGAGCTGAGGTGCCGCCGCCGCCGGGCAGCCGGGGGGAATCCGCCCGCATCGCCGCCCTCACCGGCCGGGCGGCCGCAGGGCCCAGAGTACCGGAGACCGGGGTTGGGGCGGCACCGTGCGGCGGCCACGGGGTCCCGTTAGAGCATCCCCCGGCGGCTATGCCGAGGGCCCGGAGCGGCCGGCGCAGCAGGGGGGCCGGCGGGAGGGAGGAAGTAGGTTTGTTTACGGGCTGTTTGGGGCGGGGCAGGCCGGGACCGGGGTCCAGTGCTGGGGCGGGGGCCAGGGCTCCAGGCCGCGCCTGACGCGCTCGCTCTCTCTCTTTTTTTTTTTTTTGCTTCTGCCGGGATCTTCTCCCAGACCTTCCTGCGAGTGCGAGCCAACCGGCAGACCCGACTGAATGGTGAGTCTTGTCCGGCCCCTCCCTCCGCCCCACCCCCGGCCTCCTCCCTCCCTCACTGCCTGCAGCTCCAGGCCTGCCTGGGTTTCTTCGACATTGGGCTGTTGGGCTTCGTCGCAGTCACAGCGCCTGAGAAAGTGCTAACCAAGGCGGCCGCCCTCAGTTTCCCCGTCTGTCTAATGGAGGTTATGGTTCCAGCTCTTGCCCACGCCTCTCTAAAGGCCTTCAAGAACCCTGGCGGGCAATAAGTACCAGAGAATGAGGAACAAGCTACACAATTCCACTCGGGAGCTCAGCTTTGAATTTGCAAACTGCTGGGACCTCACTGTACAAGCCGGCAGGGCGCTGAGAATGTTTTTCTTCCAGTTTTTAATCAGCGCCCAGTAGTGTGAATACAGCCTTTCTGCTGAGACTTGACAATGCAGTGAGATCTGGAGTTCCCACGGCAACAGGAACTAACTCATCCCAGGGCTCTTTGAGTTATCAGTCGGCCCACATTTCACAAAGGTGATCAGCGTGGGCTCGACAGCTCTTAGAGGCCTTCTCTGAAAGCACGTCGTGTATGCACTACCTGGTGCCCCCCCCCCTTTTGGATTCAAACCTCTGGAGCATTACTATTTGCTGAACACAATTGGATGAACCGAGCTTTTTGTGCTGACTAGGGTGTGGTATACCTGGGTATTGGCTGTAAGGGGCTTAGGGTCTCTGGGCCAGCTGGTCAGTGAGTGAGGCTATGGACATTCAGGATCCCCACCTCTTGCCACTTGGTTTCTGCTGCCTGGCTGAGCCCTGATCCGGGACAGGGAAAGCATTCGTTATGGCCTGACACCATGTTAAGCATCATTATCATAGCACTTCTGAGAAGAAAGTGGTAACACATTTTGTAGATAAGGAAACTGAGGCTGGGAGAGAAGGTGATTTGTTTAAAATCATGCAAATGGGATGTAACTGAACCATGATTTAAACTGAAGTTTACCTCCAAAATCTGTGCTGCTGTGACCATGTCGTTCTCCCTCCTTAAGCAAACACTACCTACACTTTAGTAAGCTTAGTTCAGGACTTACAAGATAAATGGCAAGTTAAACCAAACCTGCCTTGGTTATCTGAGAATGTTCAGATGTTGTCCAACCCATCAGGGTGCTTTCCTGGGATTATAAGGGATCTTATGTCCCGCGTGGCTTGGGCAAGAACAGTGTCTAGTATCATGCTCTCCTTGGTAGTTCTGTAAGATTCATTTCTTTATTCAGTCATAAGTGTTTGTCATAGGCCCTTTGTATTGGCCCACTGCTCCATATGGGCTTCAAGAACCATCAGCATCCCTGGCCTTTCTGATGATTTCTCCATCCCAGCCCTGGCTGCAGGGTGCCAAGGTGGCTCAAGCCTGAAATTCCAAGTGTTAGGACAGTCAAGGTGAAGGGATCTAGATCTTTGTCTACAAAATCAAGGAGGGCACTCATAGTCCTCTCTCTTGTAGTGAGAGCACAGGAAACTGAAGATTGGAGCCAGGCTACAGACCAAGATTTCTCAAACTCCATGCCATCTCTGGTGGGGTGATGGCTTTCCTATTGGTTTGGGTCTTCCTAGAGCTACTATTTTGGGGTTGGAGTAGCTCCCTGCCTCAGACTCTCAACAGGCAAGAGGTAGGTCCCCATGTACATATTCTTAGTGCTCTGGCACACTCACGGATCAGTCTTTGTTGCTGCTATCAGTCAGGGGGCAGGTGTGGTACTCTTAGGAGAGGAGAGCATTCTAACCTATGGAGTCAGGCCTGATTTCTCCTGTCTTTGCCACTTTTTAGCTACTTGAGCAAGTGCCTTGTTCTCTCTGAGCCTTAAGCGCTTGTCTTCTGTTAAAATGGATAATGCAGCCTTGCTTCAGGTTGAATATAGAATTAAATGAGCTACCTTGTATAAGGTATTTGATGCTGAGCCTAATACACAGCTGAAGCTCTAAATTGTAACATCAGCTTTCACCTGTGTCCCCCTCCCTAAACTGCATTCATGAGCTTCCCACCAGGGTCAATATCCATGAGAAAGTTTTTCCTGGCCTTACAGTGGGGAACCATTTTCTCCCTGGCTGGCTCCCCTCAGTCAGTCTGATCTCAGAGTGGCTAGCTCTGCTCCTGCTATTGCACGGGGAGGGTGGCAGTCCCTTGTTTTGACCCCTTCCTGCTTCAGTGACAGGAGGGCTGCAGAGAGGGATTAGTGAGCTAATTAGAAATGATTGCATCTCTCAGCATTAATTAGCAGTGCTTTGGGCTTACAGTGTGCACTTTGGAATTGAGCCCCCTGCGGGACAGCATGGCAGGCAGCCGTCTGCCTCAGGGGCCTGCCAGCCCCTTGCACTGATTAGAAATGATGGAACAGGTTTGGGTAGGCGCAATGAAAGCTGTCCTCTCAAGGTACCATGGGCTCTCTGACTCAGATCCTCTATACCTTTATGACTGGGTCTCAGTCTCCTCTTCTGTAAAATGGGACCAGTGAAGTGCTTTCTTTGTCAGCACATACACTAAAATTGTAACAATACAGAGATTAGCTTGGCCCCGACACAAGGATGATATGCAAATTTATGAAGCATTCCGTTTTAAAAAATGGGACCAGTGGACATGGGAGAAAATCTTCCTGAGGGATTCTAGGTAGGACACTGAGGGCTGTGCCACAGGGCCCTTGGCCCAGGAACAAAAGAGGTTTTAGCTGATGAGTGACCAGCAAGACAAATTGGCCCCATGGAGGGACCCTGGGTTCTAGCCAAGAGATGTTCTCTAAGAGAGCCCATGGTCTTGGCCTTCTGGGCAGATACCTAGCAACTCGGAGAGTCTTTGCTCATTGGACTTACTGAGCACTGCAGGGAGGAAGGTATGGGTTGAACTTGAGCCATCTGTGGCCAAAGAGTGGATACTTTGCTGGCCTAGCACCAGTCTCCTCCCCAGGTGCTCTTGGCAAGGCCCAGTCCCCAAAGGAGCAGAAGGTGCTGCATAATGAGGGCCAGATCAGGCACTGAACAAAAGGGCTAATGGCTAGCAAGAGGTCAGGATGTGTCAGCTCCACTGGGACCCTGGGAGCTACAGTGACCGTCTGCCTGTTCTGTGCTTTGTTTTCGGTTTCTCCATGCAGCTCGGATTGGGAAAATGAAACGGAGGAAGCAAGATGAAGGGCAGGTATGTCCCCTGTGCAACCGCCCCCTGGCAGGATCGGAGCAGGAGATGAGTAGGCATGTGGAGCATTGCCTTTCTAAGGTAGAGGGGCCATCACTACCTACCTCTTCTCCCCTCCCCCCTTGCTCCCCTGGCACTAGCTGCTGACTGCCCCCAGATGTAGAGGCTGTGTTGGGGTCTCCGTGTGGTCTCAGCAGCTTCTTCCTCTCTGTTCTTCACCCTCTTCCTTTCCTTTCACGCTTCCATTCCTCCTCTGGGGCTCCAGTGGAAAATTATTGGGAAGAGGCCCAGGTTCTTTGACTTCTGGATTGGTTTCCTTGAAAGGAGCGCTAGAGCTGGGGGCCAGGGCTGTGCCTTCCTTGTAGACCTGGGGGAGCAAGAGGGGTGGCCCGGGACCCATGATCCTATTTTGCTCTTCACAGAGGGAAGGCTCCTGCATGGCTGAGGATGATGCCGTGGACATCGAGCATGAAAACAGCAACCGCTTTGAGGAGTATGAGTGGTGCGGGCAGAAGCGGATACGGGCCACCACTCTCCTGGAAGGTGGTTTCCGAGGTACAAGCGGCTGACACGTAAAGCACTGGTGCTCTGGTGGCCAGGCCTCTGCTGGGTGTCCATCTGTTGGGAGCTGAGAGGCCAGGGCTGGTGACCGGTCACCCGTTCCACCACGTGGGAACTGCTGCTGGCGGCGCTCCTTTGTGACCGTGCTGCCTGCCTGTGATGTGCATATTAAAATGGATGTATTTGGGTGGGGAAATGGAATTGTGAGGCTGCAAGCTAGGAGTGACGAGGGGGGCTCTCAGCCTCGGGTGATGCATTGAAGGTGACAGCCAAGCCGCGTTAGCACCTGCATAAAATATTAAAGGGACGGTTATGCATTTATCACTCCATCCCTCTTAAGGCTGATAAATGAGAATCCAGCAACCTGCTGTACACCTCCAGCACTGGGGGCCCTGAGGGCTTCCAGGCAAACACATTGGATTTTCCTCCTCCTCCTCAGCCCCATGTCAGGGAAATCAGTTACAGAGGAGAGAGTGAGTTATGGCAAAATTTGACCTCCTATGAGCTTCATTGGTGAATCTAATTTTAGCTCTGATCCCATCCCTTCTCCCTGGGCGCCCTCTGCCCTGAAGCAAGAGGGGCCTGGGCCCAGCTGCTCCCTGCTTCCCTTGGGCTCACTCCAGTTGCTGCAGAGGGGTCTGCAGGGCTTTGCACAGCTCCCTTGCCCTTCCAGCTCCTTGGAGGGATATGGCTTCGCCCAGTGGAAGTCTCCCACCCCCCCACCCTTCCCCCCACCCCATGTCAAACAGTAGACTGGTTGGATGCCTAGGGTCATGTCCTCTTGTCAGACTCCCCTGCTCTGGGCAGGGGAAAAGGGAAAGAGTTTGCCTCCTGGCCTCCAGCTCTCCTCTTTCTGTGCATAAGCACAGCTGGCCCTTCGACTTACGATCATTAAGTGAACCAATCTGCTTCCCATCTGCCTCCAATTCTCTGGGCAAACACCCGTGGGAGTACTGGTGGGTCTGGTCCTTGGGGAATCTCACAGCAGCTGGGAAGAGGGTCTCTGCCTTGTCCAGACCGTGCTGCAAGGGCTGGTCCTGAGGAGTGGTCTCCACAGTGCCATGCAGTGCAGATTGGATATGTGAAGGGGCTCTAAGTCCAGGTGGGGCATTATGCCTCTGGGTTTCTCTCACTCCCCAAGCATTTGGGGCAAGCCAGAGTGTCAGGACGGTAAATCAGCCCAAACCATTGCCCCAGCCTGAGCTGGAGAAAGTTCATTTGCCACCTCACTCTGGTCCTGTCCTGTAGTTCTAGACTGTCTGAGGCCCTGGGAGGAGGATGAGCAGCAAAAAGCCCAGGATCCTGGAAATGGGACACACAGGTGTCTGGTGGTGGCCCATCAGGGTCAGCTGCAGGATGCTGCTGTGGGTTCACAGTTGGCAGCTGCAGATATTCACATCTTCCATTACTGTGGCAACTTCTTAGGTTTCTTGGCACTGAGCTGGACCTGATACCTTCTGGGCACCAGACAAGGCTTACAGAGGATAAAGCTACATACATGGGGCCTGCTGATTTGACAGAGTATTTCCCCTGCGCCCGGCCGCACTTGCAGAGCGGGTGTGCAGGGCTCTTAGGCCCTGGGCGGGTGTCAGTTTTCCCTGAGTGTTTACACTGTGAGGTGGTTCCTTTCAAGAATTCCTGAGGGGAGTTCAAAGGGGGCTTTTCTTTGAGCGATTTGGAGAGCGAGAATGAGAGTGAGGCTTGAAGAGGGAGCAGGGCCGGAGGTGCCTTTATCTGCAGAGAATGGCTCCAGCTTGCCTGATAGAAGCTGCGGCCGCCTCTTAAACAGCTTAGTGCAGTCAAAAGACAAGCAGACTTGAAAGGCTGTTTTACAGCAAGATCAGCAGGGGCCACAAGGCAGAGAGCGGGGCGCAGTGGAGCAGAGGAGGCTGAGGCTCCTCGGTGGGGGGGAGGGGGGCATCAAAGGAGGCCCTGGTTGATCCTGACTGCCTCTGCCCCTGAAACCCCGTCTGCAGAAGCTGGCCATCTGTCAGTCTACCCTCCCTGGCCAGGACTGGTAGGCCCCAACTCTTGGGGGGTTGGGTGTGGCCCCGCCAGGCGGGCTGGTGTCAGTGCGGCGCATTGATCGCCCGCCGGGCGGGCCGGGCCGCAAGCCGGGCAGCGCGTGCTTAATGTGATTGAAAGGCAGTTAAAATGGCGGTGACCTTTTCAGGAGGAATTAGATTGCCTGCCAAGACCGGTTAGAGGGAGTGATAACGCCGGCTGAAGAAGCTGCCCAGCCGACTTCAGAGAGAGGGAGCAGAGGCAGGATGAGCGGGCGAGTGGTGAGGCCCATTTAAGCTGCGCTGTACGTGCTGACAGAACAGAGATTGCTGTCCTTGTTAGATATGAAAGAATTGAAGAATTGCAGATAAGTTCCTGTATCCGATCATCCCCTATCCCTCCTCCCAGACCAGGGCCCCTTCGTCATCCTCAGCAAAGCTTCCCACCAGGCCCACTGGGAACTGATCTGATGGAGCAGATCTGTTACCTTGAATGTAATCTGCTATGGAGCAAAGGAACAAGCAAGAGTTTTGGTGGAGATACTTGGCTGAGGGGAACAGGCCTTGAAGATGGACCTGTGGCTATCGAGGGCAAAGCCCAGATAGCTCAGGCCCAGGAGTGCTTAGAATTGGGACTCTAGAACAAAATGAAGGACCAGACAGAACAGGTAAGTAAGCAGCACCAAGATAGGCCCAGCTAGAAATAGATCTTTAAGAGGCTAAAGGAAATAAAGATTTCAAGATGGTAGGTCAGAAGACCTAAAACTTTCAGTGTCCAGGAAATACTGTGGCCTTCCCAGTTCTCAGAGAAATCCTGGGCTATGTCCCTGAGCTGCTGATGTCCTCTCAAACTTAATCTGCTACTGCTGTTTCCCCCACCCAGCTTTAGAATTGCATAAAGGGTGGCATGGGGCCTAGTCCTTCCCCAGCATTCCCCTGAGAGAGCTTAGCAGTTAGGAGAAAAAGATCCTCTTCTGGGGCACCATGCCAGCCCTGGGCAGAGCAAGGGGCCTCTGGGCTAGAGCAGCAGGCCTCAGGGAAAAACTAATTATAACGCCCCTGGGGACAAACCTGCTCCTATCTATAGTCAAAGGAGGTATGTGATGAACGAGCCACACCTTTCTCCTCATTTCCTATCTCCAGCTCCTGGGTCCTAGAAAAGACTTATGGTGAGATTTGATCCTTCCCCTGTATTGGTTGCCAGTGAAAGTTCACCCAGCTGGATTTGGGGAGCCTGGAGCCCATCGTTCTGGAATGGACTGGCTAGAGAGAGAGGACACGGGAATGGTTGGTTTCAGAGAAGGTAACAGTGATGGGGGCGGGCACAAGAGTGTGGCAAGATGGAAACATTTCCCAGGAAACTGCACAGGAACTACAAGGTGCCGCAGCTTATCTGTGAGCCCTGACAGGAAACAAGTCACTAGAATCCAGCATTGAGCCCCTTTGAATCAAACAGGTGGAGGGGAGCGAGAATGATGGTACTTAGACAACCAACTGTGCAGGCCTCTGCCCTACCCAGATCCTGGCCTAGCGACTACATCTTTCTCAAGTTCCTGTCTCGGATTTAGGCTGGTTCCAGTAGCCTGGGATGAGACCTCATGGAGAGGACAGGCAGGGCAGCTCTGACGCCGATCTTTCACTGGGCTGTGGCTGGCTAAAATGTCACCAGCTTCTGGGTCGGGCCGACAGCTATTGTGAGTCCCAGGGCACAGAGAACTAGACCTTCCCCTCGTTGCTCCCCGCTCTGGCATGTTCTTTCCCAAAAGATGGGAGCCCCTGCAGCTACAAGTGTCCCCCGGTGCAGCCCCGCCGCGTGGTCAGGTCAGTGACAGGTGTCGGAGCAGCCGGCTGTGGGAGGCAGTCTTGGAACGGGGAGGGCTAGGGCTGCTGCCTTCCAGCTCCTGCCACCTTTAGTTCTACCTGTTGGCTGCTGGGAGGGCTGAGGAGAGGTGGCAAGGAGCAGGGCACCTTCTGTCCCCTGTGGCAACTGACAGGGATTTTAATGGCCTTTTGGAACACAGTTGTTAAGCTGGGACGGAGGGAGCGCAGGCAGGAGGAGCAAGTATCAATGGTTTCAAACGGCATCCGTCTCTCTGCGTCTCTCCTGACGTGAGGCAGTGAAACGCGTTATTGAGGAGGCCCGGAAAGTGGCTAAGTGCGTTTGACACACGCCAACTCCCTGCCTCCACACTGGATAATTGCATTGTCAACTGTTCAGCGAGGTGGCAGGTGACACTGCAGGCCGATTGATTGTCCCGCATCGCAGCTCCCCAGACTGTCAGCTCCCCAATCGATGGCGTTTACACAAGACACCGTAACTGCATCTGTAACTAATTCCAGTGTAAAACTCTCCGGAAGCGGCTGCCCGCCCCCCATCCCCCCCCGCCCCCAAGAGCATGGCCTCTGAAGGGCCCCAAGACTTTCCTTTCTCCCTGGGCTCAGGTTTTGTTCAGAGCAGCAGGTGAGGAAATTGATGGCTCCTTTTTTGTGGTTTCAGGTTCCAGGACGTTAGTGCCCCCAGTGAACGGGCATCTCCAGTTTCTCAATCGATCACCTAATCAGTTGATTAAATTAACACTGATTTTTTTTTTTTTTTTCCCTTCTCCTCGATGACCCAGGAAGAAATGAGTTTATGGAAGAGGGGTCATTTTTATAAAATTTAGACTTGCCTATCGTTTCTGCACTTAATCCTCTTCTTCTCTGTTGCTAAGTATTCTTTTGGAGGGAAGGGATTTTTCGCACTGCCTACCCTTCCAGAACCCACTCTGCTGAGCATCATTGACCAGCAGGCTTAGTTTGCCTAGAGACAGCAGCCCAGCACATTGCGCCACTCTCGGCGGGCTTGAGCCATAGCAAGGGGCCTCCCCTGGTGGCTGAAGGGTCCCCCAGGTCATCTTGCAGGTCCTGGGAGCTGAGTCCCTTCCCTGGATAGCAGCAGCAGGAGTGGCAGCTTGCTTGTTATCCCCAGAGCTACATGGAACAGGAGCCAGAGGCTTGGAAAGGAGCTCTGTATGCCATCTTGCCTCTGAGCACTGGCTTGGGATGTTCCAGCAGCTGAGAACATAAAACAGCTATGGAGCCTTGCTCTCAAAGCAAGCTGGGGGGGAGAGGGGGGCTGCTGTCTGCATAAAACGGCTTTATGGCAGTTTCTTTTTATTATGATTCTGCCAGAAGTCAGCAAGTGACATTTCATTAAGAAAATAAAGTTTAATGTGCTGGGAAGGAGGCTGGAGCAGGCTGGGGCAGCGTAAGAAGGAAATTGGCGGTAGCAGCCTGTTCTGAACACCTGTGGGGGTAGGGAGAGGTTCCCAACATCTGTCTCCACTGGGGGATGGGGTCAGGGTCATGGTAAACCGCTCAGACCAGAGACAGAAAGGCCTTTTCCTTGTGCCATGCTAAGATAAGATGTGCCACGCTCTCTGTCCTACCTGGCAGGTCGTCACTGCCCAGCTAGGGTTGGGGCCTGGCAGGGAAAGTTGTGTCCTGAGAGGCTTCGGGCCTCAGCCTCCTTTCGGACGCAGGGCTCTCAGGACCTAACAGGACAGCACTGTCACCATTTAGCCGTCACAGCTGTGGGCCTGGCCAGCTCTGCTGGATGATGCTGAGACCACAGCAGTGAGTCAGACCTGGGCTTGCAGTTTGATGAGAGACTGTGACAATACATGTAACAACTATGACTTTGGTGTTGTGCGGGAGTCTGGGTGGACACCAAGGAAGGGACACCTATGTAGAAATACCTGGGGAAGTCTCTACACTCAGCACCTCAAGGGTAGAGATCAGATCTTGAAACTCTGTGTCTCCAGTGCCAAGCCAGGCCGAGGATGAGCTCAGTGAAGGTTGAAAGAATGTTGTTGGGGTGAGTTCATTCAGGAAGTATTTCTGGAGCAGCTGTGCGCATTGGCACTGTGAGTTCGTAGCAGGAGGCATGGCCGAGCTAGGTCAGACTTGCAGAACAAGCCAGCGTTTGTTTTGTAGACCAGGAGGGAGGAGAGATGACAAGATGTACGAAGGCACTGTCGCGCGAACAGACGTGGAGGGTCGAGGAAAGCACAGTAGCTATGTTTCACTGGAGTAGGAGTCCTGGTCCGGGCCTGGCCGAGGAGAGGACTTCAGGCCACAGGGCTACTTTCCGTGTTGAGAAACTGGGACTCTTCCTGGCAGCTCTGTGGTACCGTTTCCTCAGCTTTGCCATGGGTCCTTTGCTTTCCTTTTTGTACACTCACCAGGCAGGGCTGGGCAAGGCACGGCCGAGGCGAGGATGTGAGGCCGGCTGCTGAGCTGTGTGTACTTGGGGGAGGGGGCCTTGGCAGGGTTCGGGGGCACAGGCTGTAAGTGAACCTGATAGCTACAGTCTGATTGATGGCAGGGTTTGTCTCCCAGACTGTCAGAGGGTTTATAGAGGTGCCACTCACCCACGAGGAGGGAATTGCTTGTCAGGATACCTGACTGTGAACAAGGGACAGAGCTTTAACTTGGTGTTTTCTTAGCTTAATGGCCCTGCTGTGACCTGCCTGCTGCCTCGAGTTTGTTGGTGCCTCGAGTTTGTTGGTGCGAAGGGGAAATGAGGATTGTCGGGGAGGGGTGGCCCCTGGTAGTGCCTAGCAGCTCTCTTCCCCTTGTGCTACCTGCCTTCGGGATGGGTGAAACCTTTGTGAGACCGGAGACCGGAGGCGTAGGTGGGAGAAGGAAGATCAGGAAGAAAATGCTCTTGAAATGGGCTTGAAAGATGGAGAACATTCTACATGGGGTGAATAGCATGAGCAAAAGTCTCAAGAGCAGGACATACGGGGTTGTGTGAGGTGCAGTGAAGAGTCTGTCTGTAGGCATAGCACTTATGGAGTGAAATGAGGAAAAGAGCAAAGGTGGACAAGTAGGTACATCCACATCTTGATGGATCTGGCTGAGGAGATTATGCATGTAGTGGGAAGCCACAGCTGGTTTTGGAGCCAGGAAAGGAAGGGTCAGAACCATCTGGTAAGCAGGAGGAAGGAACAGATAAGAGGCTTGAGGACCCATCATAAGACTGTTGTCCTGATGAGAATGGAGAGAACGGACAAGAAGATGTTTCTGAGATACCAGGCAGAACCCCGAACTGCTTCCCCACCTCTTTGAGGATTTCCTTGCTGATTCTACTTGCCACAGATTCCACCTTTTTCATCTCTGTCCATCCTGGCAGGGCTGCTACGCTTGCCAGTGGGATGTGGTCTGAGACCACGGAGCAGAGGCAGGGGCAGGGAGGGAGAAGCAGCTCTGTGGCCCCTGACTGTGCCCATAAGGAAGGATGAGTCTGGGTGTCAGAGCAACAGGGCAGATAAGGGGCTCTAATGTGGCTTCAGCCTCTCACCCCTCCCCGTTGGCCAAGGGTTTGCCTGTGGCTGGGCCAAGTGCACCTTGGTGTAGGGTCAGCCACCTGCCTGGCCCGTGGCCCTGCCTCCACCCAGCCTGGTTGCCTTTGTGGATTGCTTTGAGAAGCAGGTGTGCCTGCCTATCCTCCCTCGCCCGTCCCTTCCTAATCCCTTTCTAACTGCACTTGTCCAGGAATCTGGGTTGAGTGAGGTGGAGATGAATAATTAATGTCAGGCGCTTCAGACACCAAATATTTGAACAGCTGCCTGGTGTTTTTGCTGCCAGGGACCTGGTGGCCAAAATCAGGACGTTGGCTGGGGGTCTTGCTGTGTGGCTCTGACTGGCCCTAGCCAGTTTGCTCTTCCCTCTGATGGACTGTCACGGTGGACCATGGGGGACAGGGGATGCCCAGGTCTTGGGTGGCGGTGGCTTTGTAGACCTTGAATTTCTGTGTCCTCTTCCTGCTCTTCCTAGACTTGGAAGACAGGTGGACAGCAGACTAGCTTGAGTGTCTCCTGAGGACCTGACAATGTATATGAATGGGCTAGTTTATGAGCAGAGACCACCAGGAGCAGCAAGAAGTGGCAGAGGAGAAGGATGAGGTATACAGAGTGAAAGGGATTGAAACATCAGAGCCAAGAGTACCTAAGTAATTGGGTCTCTATGTTTCAGGCCCAAATTTCTGCCTAGGCCTTACCTGGCCCCAAACCTGAGCCCTACCTAGAGGCAACAGAAGGGGCACCTTTGGTGTAGTCTTGTTGGCCCCTGGCCCTGCTCACACCCTGTTTCCCACAGGCTCTGGCTTCGTCATGTGCAGTGGCAAAGAGAATCCGGACAGCGACGCTGACCTGGATGTGGATGGGGATGACACTCTGGAGTATGGGAAGCCGCAGTATCCTTGGGGCGCTGAGGGGCAAGGTGGGGCTGGTGGGATAAGCCAAAGGGAATTGAAAAAGTAGCCAGCACCTCTGATACTTGCTCATTCCATCCACCCCTCCTTGGGGTCAGTGTCAAAGCTTTAACCAGGATTCAACCTTCACGGCCTACTGCAAACTAGGATCTGTTGTCCTTGACCACCATGCCAGATATACGGAGGCTGACGTTATCCCCTGCACAGGCGAGGAGCCTGGTGAAGCCAAGGAGAGAGAGGCACTCCGGGGCGCAGTCCTAAAGCAAGTGTGGGCACAGGCTTGGGTGGGTGGGATAGAGGGATGGGAAGCCCTGAGGCAGGGGTCAACCCAGTACCCACCCTCAGGGCTCCCTTGCCTGCCTTTAGGGTTCACTTTATTCTTTTCCTTTCCCTAGTGGCGGCCCTCCCAGCACACGCATCACGCCTGAGTTTTCTAAATGGGCCAGTGACGGTAAGCCCTGACCCACCTTGGGAGTCATTGGGGAGAGGGGACATCCTTTGGGTGGTGGTGACTGACTCAAGCCCAACCCTCACCTGTGCTGCCCAGTCTGGCCAGAGTATGAGTTGCTCCTCTGTCCCAGCAGAGATGCCATCTACCAGCAACGGTGAGAGCAGCAAGCAGGAGGCCATGCAGAAGACCTGCAAGAATAGTGACATCGAGAAGTGAGTGTCTGACCAGGAGAGGGGCCCCTGGGACGACAGTTCAGTGGGAGGGGAGAGAGGGGGCTCTCTGCGAGCAGGAAGGCCTGCTGCCAGGACTCCTGGCCCTCCGGAGCATAGCTTAGTCCTGCGGCCCTGGGCAAACGACCGGCAGTGGGGCCCAGCTGGTGCTAAGCGTGACTCTCTGAATTGATCGCTGGGCCACTGCCCTGGGAGTCCTGGCGGCGGGAGGAGCACTCCGCCTGCCTGCCTGCCCGCTGCGGCGGCTCTGCCCGGGACTGTGATGTATGGCCGCCCAGCCCAGCCAGCGCACTTGATTCATCTCCAGTTTCTGTTTCTTAATCGGGAGCTAAATTGGTTTCATTTTTCTTGTCCCAGGTGGCGCTCGCAGTGGGTTTTAGGCAGGAGCATTGGGTCTCCTCACTTCTGGTAGGAATTTTTGGCCTAGGTTCTCTGGCAGGTGGGGAGGGGATCCATTAGCACTTCACGTGGGGCTGGGCAGCCCCTGGCCTGGATCCCCAGGAGCCGCAAGGACTTGAAATCAGCTGGGTGTCTTACTGCCTTTCCGGAAGCCCAAGCAAGGCCAGTTCTGGCCCCCAGAGGTGGCATTGTCCAGCTCTAGCTGCCTGGAGTTGCTGCTGTTGGCCACTGCTTACCTCCCCGCACCCCACCCCTCTCTCTGCTGGAGGCTAGGTTGCCTGGGGTTAAAAGGCAGCCTCTTCATTCCAGGGCCAGTGTTCCATCTTGCCTCCTGCCAGGAGAGTGGATTGCAGGCCGGTGCAGGGCCGGGTCGGTGGCCCAGGGTCACCTCCCATTTGTTTCCCTCCATTTTGTGTTGTCATAAATTCATTCCAGCCCGTTGTGGTTGATCAGTTTATCTCGGCCGGGGCCGCGAGTGCTGCTGGCATGATGTATGGGCCGCGGCTCGGGGCCCGGCTGCCCATGAATCACCGCCGCCGCTCCGTGTCAGTGCGGGAGCGGGCCGCATGGGTTCGGCGCAACCGGCGTGGGGAGGAGGAATGACGTATGGATGTTTATTTAATAATTCTCTTCTACTCCAGCTGAGCGGGGCGGGCGGGGCCGTGAGGGGCACCCACCCTCATCTGGAGGGGCTGCTCATAAATCAGAAAGACAAGATCATTAATCAGGGATGTAGCCCGAGGGGAAGGTGGGGGCCAGAGCCAGTGGCCATCCATGAAGGTACTACCCACCCAGGGCTGGGGGAAGTTGGGACTTCTGTCCCACCTGTATGAGCACAGGCACCAGTAGGCGAGGTTCTCTGGGATGAGTCATAGATTGGCTCAGTCATATGCGGAGATCTCCACTGGGTCTGGCTCTGCCAGGATTGGGACCCTTCAGTCCCCATGACTTCTCTCTTCCTGGTACACACAATGTGGGTTCCTGCCCTAGATCTTTTTCACAACCCAGGGGAAGCAGGAAGGCAGGATGCCATGGCTTCTTCCAAGAAAGTCTCCACCCCATGCCCTGGAGGGTCTTAGGAATAACTCACAAGCAGCCTGGGTCAGGAACTAGAGAACTGGGTGTTGTACCAGAGCAGAGATGACAAGCTGGGTGTATGCTGAGCAGATCCACAATAAGATGGGCTTGCAGTTGGATGTGGCCTATGGAGCCTTCGGAGACGAAGGGGGAGATGGCTTCATTCTCTCCCAGCTCTATCCTTTTTGCCTTTCTAGCTCTACTCCTATGATACGGAGTTTGAGAGCGCTCTGCTCTGAGGTCGGCCTGTGCCCCCCAGCTCCAGGCCTCAGGTTCCTAATTTTTAAAATAACTACATAGGACCAGGCAAATACCCAGCCTGTCCTTGGAGAGAAAGGGAGCACAGCTACCTTGTTTCCTTGTCAGGAGTTTACCAACGGTCCAGATGAGGATGGCACACATGGCATTGGGCAGGATGCCAGGGGAAGAGTTGTGCTGGTGTCTGTAAGGGTCGAGGGGGTGGTGAAGGCTTCCAGATCTGCAAAGTTGAACGGACACTCCCAGAATCCACCAGTGTCAGAGGGGCCAGAGTCGGACCCTTTGCGGCCTCCCTGGAGAAAGGCAGGGCAGAGTCACGGACCCGGGGAGTGATAGATCGAGGGCATCCCTGACACAGGGACACACCACCAAGAAGTCCTATTCTTTGTTGCCCGCTGGTGCCCTAAGAGAGAAAGGTCAGAGAGCAAAGTTTGTTGCTGCCCATGGAACGTCACCCACCATCCTCCCCAGGCCCCCCAGTACCACTTACCGCCAATACCACCTGTGAAAACCACGGGCTTCTGAGCCAGTTTGTCTGCTCCAGGCCGGCAGAACAGGCCACCCTAGGAGAGCGTCTCTGCTCACATGGTGCCACACTTAGGAATCCCCCTCAGTCTGCGCTCTTGCTCTCACGCTCTTTCTCTCGATTGACCACACCTTTTAATCTCCACTCTTAACCTCTCATCGCCCTCCTCCAGTGGCCCCAGCAGCTTCCCAAAGCCTGTGAGATAAACTTCACTTTCTGATTGTGGCCTCCGAAGTCTTCCCTGACACGATCTCCTTTCCCACTTTAGCACTTACCCACGGGTGAGCCTTACAGCCACATGGGCCTCTTGGCCTTTATTCCTCCCGGTCTCTGGGCCTGGAGACCCCACTCCTCCTGAGTATTGTCAGTGTTGTAATGTTAATCACAGAGTTATCGGTGGATCCAGGCATCGGTCTGTGGGGTTTGAATCCCACCTCCTCCACGCTGTGTGAACCGTAGGCACGCTACTTCATGTTCCTTTGCTGTTTTAGCTTTTTCATATATAAAATGGGAATATTACTGTCTCCTTGTGGGGTTTTTGTGAGGTGTAAATAAAATAATAATTTTCAGTCCCTTAGTACAATCTCTGGCATTTAGTAAGTGCTTAATAAATTTTGGTTCTTTTGTATTATCATCATTATTATTCCCTAAGGCCCATCTCTAGTAGCATCTTTTCTAGTCCTTCCTCCAGGCAGCATTCTTCCTCTTCTGTGAGCTTCTCTGGGTTCTGTTCACTTGTTTTAGAAGGGGTGGGAAGGGGTCACCCCACTCTCTGAGATAGTCCTAGCTCTTCACTGTTCAGTACTGCAGCCCAAAGAGCCTTCCAGAAGTTAGAGGGACTTTCATGGGCAGGGCTTGAACAGCAGGTGAGGACTCTCGGGGCATCTGATGTGCCCAGGAAGAAACAACAAGGAGCCCTTGAGGTAGGCCAAGCCTGTGGCCCAGGACCTGGATTCTGTGGGACTCATGCAGTCCACACATTTCTTACTCTGGGGGCAAGACTGGTTTTTTGGTCAACAAACATTTACTCATACTCACGTGCGCGCCGTGGGGCTAATGTCCGTAGTCAGATTTGGTGGCGTGAGCAGCTTGCCCTTGGGAAACTACGTCTTGCACAGGAGACAAGGACGTTTGCAGTTGTCCTGCTATGGCGGAGTCTGGTGCAGGGTGCTGGAGAGCACAGAAGAGCAGCCACCAGCGGTGGTGCTGGCAGGAGGGTTGGAAGAGGCTTCTGGTGAGTTAGGAGGTGGGGTGATCCAGAGGAAGCAGAAAGTGCCGCGAGAGGCCAAGGGAGTGAAAAATGGTGCTGTGTGTGGGAAGCGTCCTAGTTTGCTGTGGATGGAGCATCAAGTGGCGGGGTGCTGAGGGATGTGGGCTGGGGCTATAGACCAAGGAGTCCCTGGTCAGCGTCTGAGGAGTTTGGTAGAGCTTTAGTCTGAGGGAAACATTGAGATGTTGAAGTAGAAATCGTCAAATCTACAAAATTCTAGGTGCTGAGAGAATGGAAATGAAGGATCTGGAGGCAGAGGGGCCATTGAGGTCAGCAGAGGAATTGTAGGAGAAACCATGAGGGCCTGGACCAGTTGTAGCAGTGGAGAGACTACGGAGATACTAGGAACTAGATGACAGATTGTAGGTGTCAAGGGTGACTGGGAAGGAATGGTTTGAGAATGGTTCCGAGGTATCTGGTTTGGAAATTCACCAGGATGGAGGTGGAGGAACAAGGAGGGTGAGGAGTTCAATTCTAGAAGGAAGAGTTTACAGATACAGGATTTGGGCAGGTGGGGGGCAGGGACATCTGGGAGACATTTATACACACACACTTGTAGAATTCAAGGGAGGTGTGGGCTGGAGGTTCAGATTAGACATGCCAGCCTGCTGCCTGCCCAACCATGCCGTCCTCTTTCCAGAATCACCGAAGATTCAGCTGTGACCACGTTTGAGGCCCTGAAGGCTCGGGTCAGGGAACTTGAACGGCAGCTATCCCGTGGGGACCGTTACAAATGCCTCATCTGTATGGTAAGAGGAAGGGAACCTGGGATGCCTCTGGTCAGGCTTCAGTGCCCTCTGGGGGTTGGGAAGGGCCTCTGCACTGTGATTTGAGCTCTTTAGAGGGTGGGCCAGCCTCAGAGTGACCCCTTCTGTGCCCACCTGCTCCCTAGGACTCCTACTCGATGCCCCTAACATCCATCCAGTGTTGGCATGTGCACTGCGAGGAGTGCTGGCTGCGGACCCTGGTGAGGGGGCATGGCGGTTGGGGAGTGGGTGGCGGTTTCTGGTGAGGGAGCATGGCGGTTGGGGAGTGGGTGGCGGTTTCTGGTGCTGCCCATATGTCCATGCTCACGTTTGAGCCTGCCGAGGGGAGGGAGGTGCAAGGGGCAGGGGAGAGGATGAGCGTCAAGCACAGCAGCGGGAAGCCGGGATATTCACCCCCCCAACTCCCCCCATTCTCTCCTCCCCCACCAGGTTTATTAAATCCTCTCCCTCCGTGGGTTCACTGCCTGCTCCCCTCCCCCTGCCCACCCCCAAGGCCCACTCTGTCACACACATTGGTGAGATCCCGGGTCAGGAGGAGGCTGGGTGTGGGTAAGCAGGACTAGGGCCTCAGCCCCTCCCCCTGCCATTACTAAGCTCCTTCTGCTCCTGCCCCTGTTCTTCGCTCCGGAGCAGCCATTAAAATGTCGCCCGGAGACAGCAATAAAAGGCCCGGACGTGGGCTCTGTGTCCTGATCAAAGGCCGCATGTAATCTCGTTAGGGCCGCCGCAGCCACAGCTGGACCCAGCCTTGTTCTCATTACCGGGGCTCCCGCTGCGGGGCTGGCCAGGCGGTTTGATCCTGGCGTCCCCCCAGCACAGGAGCGGGCCTGCCTGCTCGCAGAGGCCCGCCCGTGCCTCCCCAGCCTGGGCTGCCAGGACCGAGGTGCCAGCACACAGCGGGTGCGGGGAGACACGGCTACAGGCCCCGTGCTCTCGCGGGCAAACACGCGGCGTGGTGTGTGTAACCGGGGCCCTCCCCGTTCTCCCTGCAGGGTGCCAAGAAGCTCTGCCCTCAGTGCAACACCATCACGGCACCCGGAGACCTGCGGAGAATCTACTTGTGAGCTGGCCCCCCCGGTGGGCCGTGCCTCGAGCAGCCCCACCTGCCTGCCTGCCTCTGTGACGTGACCCTCCCCCTTGTACATACTCGCACACAGGTTCCCCCTGTACAGACATGCGCGCGCACACACACATACACACACACACACACACACACAGGACTCTGGAGCCAGAGTGGAGGCTGAGGCCCAGGCCCTGCCTGCTGGCTGCCACCAAGACTGGGGACCGTACCTATTCCAGGTTCTGTCCCCAGGGTGGGGCAAGGAGGTGGAGGTGAGGGGGCGCAGTGGGGCAAGGCTCCTGAGATCCAGCCCCCAGACTGACAGACGGACAGACAGACATGCAAACACCAGACTGAAGCACATGTAATATAGACTGTGTATGTTTACAATGTTGTGTATAAATGGGACAATTCCTCACCCTCCACTCCATGCCCTCCCCTTTGGTTGTATGATTTTCTTCTTTTTTTAAGAACACCTGGAAGCAGTGCCCCCTTCAGGGCTGGCTGGGGGCTCGGCCCATCCACCTCTCAGGGCGCCTGCCTCTCTCCCCGCCATGGTATCCCTTTCCCTCTCCCATGTGCTCGGTGTTCAGTGGTGTATTATTTCTTCCCCCAGACATGGGCCACATGCCCCAAGGGAAACGATCCTCTCCTTAGTCTTAGCTCCTGGGGCTCTTTATAAGGATTTGGGGGAGGGGGGAGACACAGGAAATGGGAACCGAGCTAAAGCAGGGGCTGAGACTGGGGCTGGATGAATGTGCTCCTGGCTGCCCAGCCTTCTGCCAAGAACCATTCCTGGGATTAGAACTGCTGTTCCCAGGGAAAGTGGTCTCCCCCACCCCTCCCACATGGGCCCCACGGTGTGATGCTGTGTCTGTATATTCTATACAAAGGTACTTGTCCTTTCCCTTTGTAAACTACATTTGACATGGATTAAACCAATATAAACAGCTGCTGCCTGTGTGTATGTGTGCAGGGAGGGCTAGGTGATGGGGCGGTGTGGACAGAGGCAGTTAAGGGGTTAATTCCTGACAGTGTGGGGGAGAGGATTGGATGTGGGTGTGCAAAGCAGTGCGGGGTTGGTCTGCTCACGGGGGCCCTGGAGCACGTCAGTGGGAGTGGGGCAGGGACCTGGACTCCTATTGATGGGTAGGGGCTCCAGGTTAATTCCTTATCGATGCAGAATCGTCAGCTCATTAATCACAGAAGAGGTCAGAGCTTGGGGGTACATAGCTCTATCCCCCAATCTAGAGCAGCAGCAGCTGTAAGCTTAGGGAAAGACACAAACCCCAAGCCTCTGTCCCTTTCTAGGGGCAGAGGGACCAAAACGACCATCTCAGCCCCCTTGGCTTTTTTTCTAGTGACCCAACACCCCAGTAATAGCTACTGCCTAGATCCCCAGATGGCCTCAGTAGAAACCCCCAGTTGTCCAAGGTGGATTCTCACATCGGGGACTGGAGACGGCACTTCACCAAATCGTCATCCCCAAGGCTGCCCACGGTCAGTGAGTAATCTGCATCCCAGGTGCTCAAAGCTGCAGGTGAGTCCTTTCGTTTACACATTCTCACCAGGCCCATCCTCCCATCTTCCCAAACCCCCCACCTTAGACACACTGATACCTGGGGTGCCCTTTGTGCGTACTACAGAAGAGGGTCCAGTCGGCAGCTCCTGCCTCCTGCACTCAGGTGACAAGTCACCCTGGTTGGAGCCCAGTGAAGGCCGTGCACAGCCCCAGGCCCAGCTTGATGGCACCGAATATCCTGAATACAAGAATCCTGGGGCCCAAGAGTCTAGGGAATGTATGTGGCCTGCCAGAGCAGAGCGGCCCCAGTGATGGCTAAAATTTCGGGAAAGAAGTGGGTAATGCCCAGTTCCCATCAGGCTGGCTCCTTTCAGGTCTCAACTCTCCCTTCTCCTTGCCTTGGACTCAATAGGTCCCTGATGGCTGGTTACTCTCACCCTGGGGGCGGTAGGCTCTCTAATAGGCAATGTTATTAACCCTGAGCGAGGGCATGAAGCCTACCCAGCTGTGGGATCCTTAAGCGTGGTCTCATGGCCCAGGCAGCACTGCCACCTGTTGGCCATGGCTAGAAATGCAACCACACAGCACAGGGATCAGACGCAAGGGTCCCTGAGGTCCCTGACGTCCCTGACGTCCCAGAGGGCTGACAAGATGCAGATCGAGCTCGGCTCTGGAGGCAGAGGGTCCATCAGTCCTGAGAATATCAAGGGTCAGCTCCCACCCAGAGCCTGGCTAGCCATCTCCTTTGCTGCCTGTCAAACTTTCCAAGCCCATCCCTGCCCCCCCGCCCCCGCCAAGTCCCTCGAATATCACAGTAAGCTCATTCAATCAACATATTTATTGAGTACCTACTACGGGCCAGCATTGTGCAGCAGTGACTGAGAGAATGCGAGATGATCAAGAACTCGGGCTGAAGTCACCTCTCCTGCCTGGACAGGATCCAAGGGGGTCTCAAGGAGACGGAGGAGTCCTCGCCCTGGTTCTGGTCTTCAGGGCTACTGACTTCGCTTGTCCCAGCTCCTGTGTGGCGCTGCTCTCCTCCTCCTCCCCACTCCATCTGCCTGTTAGACACGTCGCAGCTTTCCTGGCAAAGCATGGTGGACCCAGGCAGGCCCGCCACCTCTGCACCCTCAGCTCCCCTCTCTCTGGCACTGAGGTGAGAGCGGCCCCTCCAAGTGAGCTACTGAGTGGGATCTAAGCAGGTGGCGTCACGCTGCGGGGTGTGGGAGCAGAAATCACAGCCCCTGCGCCAGCCTGACCCTCTCCACACAAAGCTCACCTACCTTTGAAGAAGTTAAAGATCAACCCTGGGGCTCCTCGTCAACCCCACCCTCCCCACTCTGTTAACCCTGCCCAGCCTAAAAGCTATAGGATCCCGTCCGCAGCCCGACTTGCGCCTGCCCAAACACAGCCACGGCGAGACTCCTACGGCAACCTGTCCAGGCACTCCCCCCGCCTAGGATCCCGGGAGAAACGGTTCCCGGCGCATGGCTGCTAAAATTCAATGGGAATTCTCTACCTGCAGGACCACAGAGTCCCAAAGGGCTGTCCGGGAGTTGAAGCAGAAGAGGGCCCCGCCACCCACAGACAGAGGTTGTGGGGAGGTGGGGGGCATTTATTTCTGGAGCAGAGAGGAGTTGGGTGGGTGGGACAAGGAGCTCAGCAGTGGACACAGGTGCGCATGAAGTTGACGCAGAGGCTCGTGTAGTAAGTAGGGTAGTCACGGAGGTGGCTGACGTGCGCAGATGACACGAAGTCCACAGAGCGCACCAGGACCCGGTGTGCCAGGCGAGCCTCCACCATGCGTTCCACGTCCCTGGCCAGGACCACCTCGTCGGCCCTTGAGTAGAGGTAGAGCTCTGGCCAGCGAGAGGCTGCATCGAGTAGCCTGTCATAGAAGTGGGTGTGGAACAGGGCCGTGAGGGGAGCGAGCAGGACATGGAACAGGACCGCCACCAGGGTGAAGGCCACCAGGAGCAGCAGGCGCAGCACTGCAGGCCGGTGCCCCAGGACGGCCGCCAGGGCCCGCAGAGCCCCCAGCAGGTTGCTATCCCCGGGGCCGCTGTCAAAGATGGTGCCCACCACACGCAGGCGGCAGAAGCGCCGATGGGTCTGCAGGAGCTCCAGCACGTATCGGTACAGCATGACACCAGCATTGCTGAAGACATGGAAGAGCAGGGGCTCCTTCTCAATCTCGTAATCAAAGAGTAGCTCAAGTAGCTTCTGGGCCAGAACACGAAGTGAAGGGATGCCCAGGGACTCGGAGAAGAAGACCATGTGCCATGGGGCTGTGTATCGGATCACGATGCAGCCCTGGGAAGAGGAGAGAGGCCGGGTCGGTCCTCAGGGATGGGGGGCGGCGGGCAGGGGGGACTACAAGCTAGCGTCAGAGATGTCCAGCAGCTACAAGTCTAGCAGTGCTCCAGGCACCAGCTCACCACTCACAGACGGGTGCCTTCCACAGTGCAAGGTACTCGCAAGGCCCAGCTGTGGAATAACCACTTCATGCTGGTCACGGCCACCCAGCCCGCTGGGTGAGGACTGGAGCTCGCCCTGGCTGACCAGAACAGTCTTACTCCGGCCCGTGCCTGCCCCCTTACTCCCTGCAGTGCATCCGCTCAACTCCGGCATATTTAAGGGCTCGTGCTTGGCGACACCTTGCTGCAGTGACTGCTCTGCACCAGCCCCACCCTCCCAGGCACAAGGAGCTACCCCCATAAAACCCAACACGCAGACACGGCCTGCATGCCCCAGCCTTGGCCACCAGAGGCCACTCGTGGGCCGGACCGCGTCAGGTCAGTCTCCGGCCACAGGGGCCTGCCGGCAGAACCCTGACAACACAGGCCATGCTCTCCGGCATAGGGGCCTGGCACCCCAATCTGTCTGGTTCCAAGGCCCGGGATCGCTCCTCCCACTCACCCTGAAACTCCAAATATAGGAAACACTGTTCCTCAAATTCTAAAACCTGAGCCAATCTCGTAGGCTTCTGCACCCCTCCATGCCTGGGTCAAGGATGCCTCAAAATCTCCAGACAGATCCTCTTCTAGGTCAGGTAGAAAAGGCAGCCAAAGCCCCATGCCTCAGTGCTAATCCCCTCTCACTGTCCTGTTCGAGAGACAAAGGGCCATTTGTCAGGGGAACTGAGTTAGGCGGGCTCTGGGGTCACACAGGTCTGGGTTCGATTCCTGGCACCACTTATTAACAATAGGGGTGAAGAGCAATTTGCTTCATCTTCCTGGGCCTGTGCTTCCACCTGTAAACTGGGTTAACGTCCATCTCGCGGGGTTATGGTGAAGACTGAATGGAAAAACATACCTCAAGGGCCCCAAACAGGACCTGGCACAAAGTCAACTAATAGTAGCAGTAATTAGTGGCGGCAGGACTGATAACACGGAGGACACCCTCTGACCACAGTACGTGAATGACGCAGAGCTAAACACGATGGTCAGCTGAAAGAACCCTGCCATCAGCCCCCTAACTTCACCCCTCCCGCTGGCTCCAATCTGACATCTGTCCCCGACTCCCCCTGGCACTATTGTCCCCAGGGCCCTGGCATGCCTAAGCCCCCCTCCCAGGACTCTGCAGAGGGGGCCACTGATGCCACCTGGCCCCTCAGGCTCTAGGAAATTTCATCAAGTGCTCTGTTCTAACTTCCCAACGGCATGTGAAATGTCTTCCACCCCCCCAACCAACACACAGCATTTCCCACAAATGCAAACACGCTCCCACATCACACCTCCACACACACGCAACCCTAGAACTAAACGAAGCCCACCCACACCGTATCCCACAGATGCGGACACACGGGGCACCCACCACTCACTCGTGTGCACCCACCACACCATCTGGGAGTAGCCGGCAAGACACCCACATGCACACGCACTGCTGGCAGGTACCCAGTTACACGCTCTGCTCCCTTCAAGAGCACACACGCGCACACACACACTCCTCCCCTGGAGCATTCACACGCAGAAATAAACAGCAATTCCTGCGAACACGCCACCTATGAGGACACACACGATTTTGTGCCCTCCAACTCCGCATCACCTGTGAGTGCACACGCGGAACTCCCCCTCTAAGGGCCCAGCACTCCCCAGGAAGGGCACATGCCTGCCAAGCTTCCCCATGCCCGCTGGTCTGGGCCTCACTTTGAGGTTTCCCAGGTGCCTGCATCTCTGCTGCCACCTCCCCAGTCAGATGCTCCTAGAAGTCCCTGCAGGTCGGATCCCAGTCTCCACCCCCCCTCATCCCCCAGCCAAGCGGTTCTCCATCTCTAGGCACACTCAGCCCCGAGGCCCTGCCATGGGTCCTTGCCTCCCTCTCCTGTATTCTCAGTCTCCTCCTTTCTCCAGATTTCTGTCAAACCAATCTCATTTAAAAAAAAAAAAAAAAAAAGCCTCAGGGCGCCTGGATGGCACAGTCCGTTAAACACCCGATTCTTCGTTTCGGCTCAGGTTGTGATTTCAGGGTCCTGAGATGGAGCCTCACATCCAGCTCTACACTCAGCAGGGAATCTGCTTAAGACTCTCCCTCCTCCTTGGGGTGCCTGGGTGGCTCAGTCATTAAGCGTCTGCCTTTGGCTCAAGTCATGATCTCAGGGTCCTGGGATCGAGCCACGCATCAGACTCCCTGCTCAGCGGGGAGCCTGCTTCTCCCTCTCCCTCTGCTGCTCCCCCTGCTTGTGCGCGCTCTCTGTCAAATAAATAAATAAAATCTTAAAAAAAAAAAAAAAACAACTCTCCCTCCTCTCCCTCTGTCCCTCCTCCCCCCTATACCTGCGTGCTCTCTCTCAAATAAACAAAACCATAAAAGCCTCTGCCATTACACTGTGTTCCCCTCTAACTCTATCCCACCCTCTCCCCACCTTCCTAGACAATCTTTTTGACACCTGCCCTCTCCACCTCGTCCCCTCCCACTGACTCCCCTGCACTGCTCTCACCAAGGTCACCCACGCTCTCCCAAATGGCCAAATCCCATGACACCTCTTAGCGCCCATCCTACTTTCCTTCTAGCAGCATTCAGGATCATGCACTCCTAGATATATTCTCTGGTAGCCCCACGTTGGGTGGAGATTACTTAAAACTAAAATCTTAAAAAAAATAAAATAAAAGAGCCTTAAGGAACAAAGTAACTAGACGCAATGGGTGATCCTGGATTGGATCCTGGTTTGGGCAAATCAGCTATAAAGGACATTTTGGGGACTGTGAGAGAATCTGAATAAGGACTGGGAACTCAAGAAGATGAAAACAGATTAAGCAAGGTGGAGATCATGATCTGAAAAAAAGCAGGATGCAAAACGTATATTCAGAAGCTGGGACACCTGGGTGGCTCAGTCAGTTAAGCGTCTGCCTTCGGCTCAGGTCATGATCTCAGGGTCCTGGGATCAAGTCCTGCATCGGGCTCCCTGCTCCGCGGGAAGTCTGCTTCTCCCTCTGCCTGCCGCTCACCCTGCTTGTGCTCTCTGTCTCTCTCTCTGACAAATAAATAAATAAAATCTTTATTTAAAAAAAAAAAGTATATTCAGTAGATCTCATTAGGTTAAGAAAAGCTACACACAGAGAAAAGCTGAAAGGATGGGCAAGAACGAGTAAATAGAGGTCATCTCTAGGTGTAGATATGGTATTTTTACTTTCTTTTAAATAATCAAGTATCAGGAGTTTGGAGTTGGAACATTTTTTTCTCCACACCCATCCTGTCCCGACCCCCTTCCTTTCCCAGAGGACCCCTCCGCCAGCCCTGCCAACTCAACCCCGCTGCCTTCCCTGGAATCTAACCCCACACCCCCCACTGCAGTTCCCCCCAGGACCCCTCCCAGCCTCCTCTCTTGACACTTGCCCTTTCTTTCATTCTCTGTTCTGGCCACACTCACCTATTCCTATTCTTCGGCCTGCCCTCAGGGAACTTAGTCCAATGGAGAAGCCAGACAAAACAGGCCTGGCCCAGTGAGTGGAACTCAGAAGTCACTGAAACTTAGCTGCAGAGCTATTTGTAAAAGGCGACACCAGAGGACCAGCCTTCTTGGTTGGGGTAAGGCCTCAAGCTCAGAACATTTTCCCCCCGACCCTTCTCCCATTCCAGGGCCACACACCCCTCAGGCCCAGTGCAGATGGAGGCCAGTGGAGGGAGGCTGCGGCGAGGGGCTGGGGGTGTTGACTGGCCTTTCTCCTGGGAGGTCTCCATTCCTCCTCAGCCCAGGGCTTCCAGGTGGCAACCAGGGCTGTCTGTACTGGCGTCTTCCTGCTGAGGAGGGCAGGGCCAGGCCAGAGGCCAAAGATGTGAAAGGGGCTTCCAAAATATAACCAGCTCTCCTAAGGCTCTCTCCAGTTACCACAAGCTCTACATCCAACTCCTGGGGTGGCCTAAGAAGAAGCCAAAAAACCTCCAGCCTGAATCTCTTTTCCAAGAGGCCCTCCTGCTATGGGAATGCGAAGGTGCCACGGTCAACCCTAAGACAGAGACTCACCTGTGCAGAAAAGGAGAACATCCTGGGAGTACTCACTATGCCCAGCATGCTCAGCCCAGGCTCTTGCTGCCCATCCGGGCAACAACAGCCTGGAAGTCTGGGCCGACTCCCCAGCTGGGAGCACATCGGGGCTGGGCTGCGCACCGTGGGGCTTGGGGAGGAAGGAAGGGGAAGCAGGTTGGGGGGCTGAAGGAGACAGACCCGGCCAAAGAGCTGGCAGCAAAGGAGGGATAATCCTGCCAAAGTCCCCATGAGCCCAGCGTCTTCCTCACAGGCTGTTCTCAGAGCCGGGCCTGTCACACTGGCGGTCAGCGGTCGCTGGAGCCCAGCAATGACAGCAGCCAAGGCCGAGTGCCCCCCAGAGCGGCCAGATGCACCCCGGGCGCTGGGTGTCCACAAGCCTGCAGTACTCACCCTTTTGTGGTAGATGGCGCTGTACTTGGCAAGGTTCTTGTCGGTGCAGCCACCCCAGCCCAAGAGAATCACCAAAGGCTGTTGAGTCCCCACCTCCTTCCCGCTGTGGTTGGGGCTGTTCTCTGGAACACAGACACGGTGGCACTGTCAGCACTGGAGGTGGCATGTGGGGTGAGGGTGACTGGCCAATGCAAAGCCAATCTAGCGGTAGGCAGGGAACCAACAGGTGCCAGACCTCGGCACATCCTGCCAGCACGTGTGCCTCAGGTTCCCACAGGGCTCCCTCCTCTATCCCGCCGCCGAAGTGGCATGTAGGCCTCTCAGGAGGCAATGCAGGGTCACTGCAAAAACCCACATGAGGGCACCTTTTTTTAGTAACTCAAAGACATAGCCCAGGCGAGAAAAGTGAGAACTTTCTCCATGCAATTTCACCTTCTAATCCAGAGGTCAGCAAACTACAAGCCATGGGCCAAATCTGGCCCACGGTCTGGTTTTGTATGAACTGCACGCTAAAAAGAATAATGGTTTTTCTATTTTTAAATGGTTAAAAAGAATCAAAAGAACTAATATTTTGTGACACATGAGAGTTCTATGAAATTTAAGTTTGACTGTCCACAATAAAGTTTTATTGGAACACAGCCACGCTCATTCATTTACTTATTGTATAGCTGCTTTCACGATAGAACAGCAGAGTTGACTCGTGGCAACAGAGACCCTATGGTTTGCAAAGCCTAAAATACCTATGGCCCTTCACAGAAAAAAATTGCCAGCCCTATTCTAATTTCACAAGCAGTTGGAGGAAGGAGACCTTGAAAGGAGAAATGGATAGACAGTGCCAACAGGGAGGTAGAGCAGATCCTGAGGGATCACACCAAACCACCCACCCAGTCCTGCCAGAGAATAATCATCGCCAGTATTTACTGAGACTTAACGCTCATAACAACACTATGAGGAATATTACTGCCGATGACGACACTGAGGCACAGAGTGGTTAAGATAGTGGCCTAAGGTCACAAAGAAAGTGTACAGCTGGGAATCTGGCGCCTGCTCCCCATCCTAACTAAGCCACTTGAGACCCCCTGTGCCACCAGCACCATCCCCAACTAGAAGCATGTCTCCTGCGGAGATGTGCCAAGGCACAGGCCAGCTGCCTCCTCCATGGCTACTTTCTAAGAGGCTTCCCTGCAACCTCGTTGGTCAGACCTCATCTCATTTCCCCTGCCGAGTAAGGACCCACGCACTAAAGGGGACTTCGGTGCAGGGACTGTCCGTTACTAGTTATCTGCCCTCCTGCAAGGGCCAGAGTGTGCCCTTCCAAGTATCAAGCCACTTGGCTCTACTCAGCTGCCACCTCGAGATTTATGGATGTCGGTGGTGACCGGGCAACAGTAAATTTCAAGGCTAGTTAAGAGGATGGTAAATATAAATCACTAACCTTTGGACAAAAGGAAGACAACAATTTCCTGTAGAAATTAATGTGATTGAAAAGTTCAATGTTCCCGCTCTCCAGCAGTGGTGACTCTGGCCTTCAGAGATTAACTGCCCGCCCCCGGGGGAATCCCAGGCTGGGCTGCAACTCAGCCTGGAATGGGAGCTGCCTGCGCCTCAGTCCCAGCACTCCCAGGCTCCCCTGATGCTGGCCTGGCCTCTGGTGAGGGAGACGGTCCTACAGACCTAACGCAGGCCACTCCAAATATTCGTACCACCTTTCCTGGCCTGGTGTCCCCATCCCCTGCCCTTCTGGCGGAAAGGCATCTGGGCCGCCCTGGGGCCCATGACCAACCCTGCTGGGGATGAGGACTGCCCATGAAGCTCGGGCCACAGCAGCCTCAGGGGTAGCAATCAACAGCCACCCATTTGGACCTGCCTGTGAATCTCTGAGATCCAGGAACTAGATTTCTGAGACCTGCCCCAGGGAGGCTCCCTTACCTCTGTGCAGCTGTCTGAGCATAGGCTCCCCTCCCCCAGCCTGCAGCGGTCCCCTCCTGTGCCACCACCAAGACACAGCAAAGGGCTTTGGCATTTATCTCAAACACAGAGAAGGCAGCCAAGGGACGCCACACCTCCTGGCGGCCTCCTGAAGTTAAGGCCAGCCCCCACCAGCAGTGATGGTGCATTCCCAATTGAGGAAGGTTCGAACAGCTTCTGCTGGGCCTCTGATCCGCCCCTGGACTTGAAACTCCCTTCTGCTCCACCAGGTTTTACAGGCATCCGTGGCTTCGCCAACTCAGGTAGGAATGACTCTTCCCCAGAGAGGCATTTCCATGAAGAAGCTCTCAGAATGTGGATACCCTGAACACACTGCCCTCTCCCAGAGCCCAACCTTTCCGTAGTGCTCCTCATGGGAGGGAACTGGTCCCTCCACTCCAGCCGAGGCTACCCCTGAGCCAAAGCTGCTCCTCCTGCCCGGGGGCATCTCCCATTCCCCCCAACAAAATCTCCTCCCGGGGCCCCACTCTCTCTACGCATTCCTAACTTCAGCCTTCATCCTGACCTCCTCCCACCAGAGCCATGCTGCCCCTTCTGATTCTGTATTTCATGTGCTACAACCCAGAAAGTCCGAGGTGCTCTGGCAACGTGGCTGAGAGTACTGGCGCCGGGAAAGGCCTCCCGAAGGAAGACACACGTGCTGCGCTGCCCTGGAGGCCCAGTAGGAACATGCCAGGAGGAGAGAGGCCATGAGCGGGGGGGCAGGAGGCTCTAGAGATGCCAGGGTTGGTCTCAGGCCCAGCAAGCAGTCCTGGGGGCTAGAAGCCGCGGTGAGGAGCAGGAATGGTTGCAAGAGCTGCTGAGAGTAGCACTGGGGCGCGATCCTGCAGGGCCTTTCAAGCCATGTGTAGGAGTTGGAATTTTATTCCGTCGCAGTAGAGAGCAAATGATGATCCTGAATTGGGGAAGTGGTGGGATCCAACCTGTATTGATTAATGACTTGCACAAGGATTTAATGTCTGTCTCTCCCTTTAGCCAGCAGGCTCTGTGCAGGCAGGCACTGAGTGCGGCGTGTTTATCACCGCCCCCTGCCCAGTGCCCAGCCCCGTAGCTGGCCCATTCAGGCGTGCAGGAGGAACGTGCTGGAATGAACATGTGGCTGCAAAGTGAAGGATGGATCCAAGGAGAAAGAGCTAGCATTCTTGCTCCCCATTGCCCTTTCCAGAGTAATAAAAGTAATTCTTATGGCTATTGTTATTTATTGCCACATCCAGATCATGATTCCTCCATCCTCTCATAAAAGCCCCTGTTCTTTTTATGCTTATCCCACTGGCCATATCACCCTCGTCCCTCCTGTGGCTGACATCTCGGGGCCTCTGGCTGCTGCGCCTCAGGGGCAAGGCTTGGGCCCTGGCTCTGTCTCTCATTTATGCTCCAAGACTTCCCATGACCCGGTGCCGGCAATCAAATCCACCCCGTAAGCCATCACAAACCTCTCTGAAGTCCACATCTCCTTCCAGCTCTTACTACCCCTCTTTCCCAGTGCCAAGAAAACCAGTAATGGTAACAGGAAAAAGAGTATTATGTGGCAGGCACTGTTCTAAGCACTTTATGTATCAACTCATTTAATCTTTACAACACTCCCGTGAACAATGTACTGTTATTATTCTCATTTTGCTGATGAACAACTAAGGCACAGAGATAACAGATAACTGGCTCAAGGTCACACAACTAGTAAGCAGTGAAACTGGAATCCAAACCCAAGCGGTCTAGAGACCAGCTTGTAAAAACTGCCCCCGCGGCGCCCTGGGTAACAAAACCCAAGCCCCCAGGCTGAACCAAATCTCTACCACCTCAGCTCCAAACGTGTACACGTAGCTGCCTTTGTCCATCAACAGATCCAACTCTGACATCTTCTGCCTCCTCCTCAGGGACCGGCCCCCCCAGCAAGGGCCCCAACGGATGCTGCCTCACTGGGTCCTGCAACCATTCTCGGAGTTCGTTACTATTGTTCCCATTTTACAGATGAGAAAACTAAAACAGAGAGAGAGGAAGTTCCTCTCCCCAAGACCATGCAGCCAGGAAGCGGCAGAGCCAGCATCCATCTCTCTGGACCAGCACGGCACCCTGCTCTCACCTCCAGGACCTCACACGCGCTCCCTCGTGGGGAGCCCCCTGGCCAGTGTGCTGAAGCTCCATGTTTATGGCTTGGCTAATGCCCACCCCACCTCCTGAGTCAGCTCACTGTTCACTTCCAGGAAGCCTCCCCTGAAGCCTCCCGCAACCCCTTCTCATCCCCCACTCCCAATCGCCAGACTGGGTTAGACGCCCCTCGGCCGTACCGCCACGGGGCCCACCATCACCATGTCTACGCTTGCCATACTGCCGGGCAGTGTCCGTTAGGAACAGGGAGGAGGCTGCTGTAACATGCAAGGCAAGAGAAGGCAAAGGCCTGAACCCCAACAGTGGAAGACAGGTAGGAAGGTGGAGGGAAAGGACGGGGACAAGAGTAATTTTGGAACATGGATCAAAGGTCTCAAAAACATGCCATCTTTGACACAGCAATTTCACTTCGGAGAAAAAAAAAATTAATCATATGGAAATATTTGATAATACATGAAGCAAACTAGAGACATACATGTAAGAGCTAAAACCATAAAAAAGAAAACACAGGAGTAAATCTTTGTGGCCTGGCATTAGGCAACGGTTTCTTGGACATGACCAAAAGTGCAAGGAATAAAAGAAAAAAAAAAGATAAATTGGGATTTCATCAAAATTAAAAACATTTGTACTTCAGAGGACACCATCAAAAAAGTGAAAATAACAACCCCCACAATGGGAGGAAATATTTGTAAATCATATATCTGATAGGGGGCTTGTATCTGGCATGTATCAAAAAACCTCTTACAATTCAACAATAAAAAGACAAACAACCCGATTAAGATGGGCAAAGGATTTGAATACACATTTCTCCAAAGAAGATAGACAAATGACCAATAAGCACATGAAAAGATGCTCAACATCATACTCATTAGGGAAATGAAAATAAAAACCACAGTGAGGGGCGCCTGGGTGGCTCAGTTGGTTAAGCGTCTGCATTCGGCTCAGGTCATGATCCCGGGGTCCTGGGATCAAGTCCCACATCGGGCTCCCTGCTCTGAGGGGAGCCTGCTTCTCCCTCTCCCCCTCCCCCTGCTGGTGTTCCCTCTCTCGCTGTGTCTCTCTCTGTCAAATAAATAAATAAAATCTTTAAAAAAAAAAAACAAAACACAGTGAGATCCCACGTTATACCCACTAGCATGGCTATAATCAAAAAGTCAGATAGTAACAAGTGTTGATGAGGATGTGGAGAAATTAGACCCTCATACACTACCGGTAAGAACGCAAAAAGGTGCAGCCAGTTTGGAAAGCGGTTTGGCAGTTCCTAAAAAAACACTAAACATCAAGTTACCACAGGACCCAGCACTTCTACTCCTACGTCATCACACACCTAAGAGAAGTGAAAGCATGTGTCCACACACAAACCTGTACACAAATCTTCATAACCACAAATATTCACAAGAGCCACCACGTAGAAACAATCCACATGCCTATCAATAATGTGGTATATCGGGGCGCCTGGGTGGCTCAGTTGGTTAAGCGTCTGCCTTCGGCTCAGGTCATGATCCTGGAGTCCCGGGGTCAAGTCCCGCATCCATGAGAAGCAGGGAGTCTGCTTCTCCCTCTGACCCTCCTCCCTCTCCTGCTCTCTGTCTCTCATTCTCTCTCTCTCAAATAAATAAAATAAAAATTAAAAAAATTAAAAAAAAAATAATAATGTGGTATATCCCATGCAACGAAATACCATTTGGTCATAAAAAAGCAATGAAGTACTAACACAGGCTACAACATGGATGAACCTTGAAAATCTATGCTAAGTGAAAGAAGCCAGCCATGGGGCGCCTGGGTGGCTCAGTCGTTAAGCGTCTGCCTTCGGCTCAGGTCATGATCCCAGGGTCCTGGGATCGAGCCCCGCATCGGGCTCCCTGCTCAGCGGGGAGCCTGCTTCTCCCTCTAACTCTCCCCCTGCTTGTGATCCTGCTCTCACTGTGTCTCTCTCTGTCAAATAAATAAATAAAATCTTTAAAAAAAAAAAAAAAAAAAGCCAGCCACAAAAAACTACATATTGCATGATTCCATTTATATGAAATGTCCAGAATAGGTAAATCCATAAAGAAGCAGAGTAGTGGTTGCCAGGAGTTAAAGGGAGAGGGGAATGGGGAGTGACTACTAATGGGTATAGGGTTTCTTCTGAGGTGATGGAAATGTTCTGGAGTTAGTGGTGATGGTTGCACAATTCTGCGAATATACTAAAGAACAATGAATTGTACAGCTTTAAAAGGGTGAGTTTTATGGTATGTGAATTCTATCTCAATAATGTTATTATTTTTGAAAATTAGTAATAGGGTTGCCTGGCTCGCTCAGTCTGTAGAGCATGCGGTTCTTGACCTTGATGTTGTAAGTTCAAGTCCCATGGTGGGTTTAGAGATTACTTTCAAAATCTTTTAAAAAATTAGTAGTAATACATTAAGTGAAAAAGCATGTTGAAAAGCAGCATATACAACAGAATATATACATATATTTAGAGGTGCATATATATTTATGTATATACATATACACACATATATTTATGCATAGAAAAAAACACATCCAATACTAATAGTAATTATTTCTGGGACTAGAAGCAATTGCTTTTTTGTTATTTTTTTTAACCATTTTCTAAAATCAACATGTATCGCTTTTGCAATGAGAGTTAAAATGTTATTTTAGCTCCTTGGTAAGGCAGAAGTATTCTTCTCAACCCTCATGATTCTTGAGCACCCACAAAACAATTTAATCTCACAGGCTCCCTGTCCTCTAGAATTTCTCAACAAAACAATACTGACACCAATAATAGAAGAATTACAGATACATATATTGTACAACAGTTCAAGTCATAAAACTAAAGCATAAATTAGATTATGTATATCCCAGGGGCATGTGAAGAAGACAAAGGAAAGGCTGACAAGGCATAAGGGTCTATGGCATAATATATGCTTTTTATCTGTAAGCCAGAATCAAAATGCAAAGAATCTGTTTTCTTTTTAAAATGCAAAGAATAAAAGGATCCTCAGTTTCTTCTACTCCCAGAAAAACTTTCTAGATTCTCACATATCTAGTTCCGGTATTTATTTTTTTTTTAAGTAAACGCTACCCCCAACATGGGCTTGAACTCATGACCCCAAGATCAAGAATCACACGCTCTACCAACTGAGCCAGCCAGGTGCTCCACAGTTCCCATATTTATATATTTAAAAATTTCCTTTTTTTTTTTTTTTACTTTTTGAAATAAGAGCCTAGGAAAGTAGCACAGTATCTTAAGAGTACATACTTTATAAAACCATATCTGAATTCAAGACAGGGAGACAAACCAAGAAACAGACTCCTAAGGATAGAGAACACACTGATGCTGGGGGAGGAGAGAGTGGGGGAATGGGTGAAACAGGTGATGGGGATTGAGGAGTACACTGGTCATGATGAGCAGCGGGTGCTGTATGGAAGTGTTAAATCACTATATTGTACACCTGAAACTAATGTTACACTGTATGTTAACTGGAATTAAAAACTTTACAAAAATAAAAATAAAACAAAACCTTATCTGAGTCCAAATCTCTGGCTCGCCATGAGTAACTATGAAACAGACCTTGCGCAAACTCCCTAAACTTCAAATTCCTTATCTGTAAAATGGGGCTATTAATATATAGATTAAATAAGATAATGTCTGTCGAGGGCTTAGCATGGTACCTGGCACAAAGAAAGAGTTCAGTGAACCCAAGATACTACTTCTTCACGAGCAGCACATGTGTCCTATAGAAAAGGAGAAAATGAATGTCTAATAAAATTGGAATCCCACTGTTTTGTAATCTGCTTTCTTCCATTTAGCAATATATTGTGAACCTCTCTCCCTGTCAGCTTACCTATTTCTACATCACTCTTTTTAGTGGCTATGGAGCGACTGTAGAATATTTCATAATTTGTGGTGACCAATCTCCCATTATTGGACATGATATTTCCAATTTTTACTATTATAAAAGGACTCTATTGGACACCTCTTTCTTTGTGTGTGTCCTTAACTGTGTCCTAGAAATGGAACTGTATTCAAGCAACACTTCCTAATGTCAACAAGAATCTGCATGTACTAGCTGAGGAGTGGAGCTCTAGAGTTGAAATCTGGGATAACCTGGGGTAAGATACCTCAGCGCCCTGGAGTTTCTGTTCCTCATATGTAAAATGGAGTAAGACCTCTCCCTCCTTCACAAGGTGATTGCCATTAATAATAGATGCTCCTGGCAGGCCTAGTATGTGAGCAGGACATAGTCAACAGAAGGGCAAGAGAAACCCTGGTGAGCTCACAGAAAGGAGACCTGTACACAGTCCACCAGGTCTAGATCTCAAATCTAGAGCCTAGCACAGTACCTGGTACAGAGCAGACATATTAGAAAGGGTTTTTATTAATGTGTGAAAGAGACTGTGATTCCAAAAAATATAGGAATACCTTGGAGATATTGTGGGCTCATTCCCAGACAACCCCCCAAAAATGAGTATCATAATAAAGTGAGTCAAATAAATTTTTTGGTTTCCCAGTGCATACATATGTTTTCAATATACTGTAGTCAATTAAGTATGTGGTAGCATTGTCTAAAAAAACCATGTACATACCTTAACTTAAAAACATTTTATTGCTGGGGCTCCTGGCTGGCTCAGTCAGTACAGCGTGCGACCCTTGACCTCGGGGTTGTGGGTTCAAGCCCCACATTGGGTGTGGTTTACTTAAAAAAATTAAAAAATAAAATCTTTTAAAAATACATTATTGCTTGGGACACCTGGGTGGCTCAGTCGGTTAAGCATCTGCCTTCAGCTCAGGTCATGATCCCAGGGTCCTGGGATCGAGTCCTGCATCAGGCTCCTATCCCAGGGTCCTGGGATCGAGTCCTGCATCAGGCTCCTTCCTCGGCAGGGAGCCTGCTTCTCCCTCTCCCTCTGCCTGCTGCTCCCCCTGCTTATGCTCTCTCTCTCTGACAAATAAATAAATAAAATCTTTAAAGAAAATACATTATTGCTAAAAAATGCTAACCATCATCTGAGCTCTCAGAGAGTCATAATCTTTGTGTTGGTGGAGGGTCTGGCCTCGATGTTGACGGCCGCTGCCTGGTCACAGTGGTGGGTGCTGAAGGCTGGGGTGGCTGTGGTGATTTCTTAAAATAAAAAAAGAAAGTTTGCCACATTGATTGACTCTTCCTTTCAGAAATGATTTCCCTGTAGCATGTGACGCAGTTTGACAGCATTTTACCCACAGCAGAACTTGTTTCCAAATTGGGAGTCAATCCTCTCAAACCCTGCAGCTGCTTTAGCAACTAAGTTTATGGACTATTCTAAAATCCTTTGTTGTTATTTCCAATCTT